GGACCGTGTTGAGGTTGTTGACCGGGGGGAGTCCTGTGACGAAATCCAGACCCACGTTGGACCAAGGACGGCTGGGCACCGGAAGAGGTCTGAGGACACCAACAGGGGCCTGGCTGGGTGTCTTGGAGCGGGCGCAGATGTCACAGGCACTAGTGTATTCCTTAACATCCCTCCCCATGCTTGGCCACCAGAGTGCTCATTGGAGGAACTTCAGAGTACGAGAAAACCCTGCGTGGCCAGACAGGCGTGACGAGTGGGCCCAGGAGAGTGCCTCACTGTGACAGGATGTAGGGACATAGAGACAACCCGCGGGGGTCTCTGGAGGTGCGGGGTCATCCCGGAGAGTGTTCTGGATAGCCTCCTCCAACCGCCACCTTAGGTGGGCCAGGAAATGGTGCTCTGGGAGAATTGGTGCAGGCTCGGACGTGGGCGTGGAGTGTGTGAACTGGCGGGAGAGGGCATCAGCCTTCTGGTTCTTAGTTTCAGGGTGGTAGGCGAGATGGAACTCATAGGGCTCGAAGAAGAGGGCTCAGCGGGTCTGGCGAGGATTGAGCTGCTTGGCGGATTGGATGTGAGTCAGGTTCTGGTGGTCTGTCCAAATAGTGAAAGGCTGGGTGGTGCCTAGAAGCCACTGTCTCCACTCCTCCAGTGCCCATTTTATGGCCAGCAGTTCACGATCGCCCACGCCATACTTCTGCTGGGTGGCGGAAAACTTCCTAGAGAAGTAGGCGCAGGGATGGAGTCTGTCGTCGGGCCCGCCTTAGGACAGGATGGCACCGGCACCGACGCCCGAGGCCTCAACTTCGACCACAAAGGGCTCCATAGTCTCTGGATGGCGGAGGATAGGAGCCGACGTGAACCGGGTGACCAGGTGGCGGAAGGCCCAAATGACATCTGGAGTTAGATGGAACGGTTGGCCGGGTGGGCTTCGTCGGGTGAGGGAGGTGAGCGGTGCCACATTGGTGCTGAATTTGTTAATAAAACGGTGGTAAAAGTTGCAGAAGCCCAGAAAATTCTGTAGCTGTTTTAGGCTCGTAGGAAGGGGCCAGTCAGTGACCGCCTGGACCTTCTGAGGGTCCATGGTTATGCCCTGATCCGAAATCATGAAGCCCAGGAATGAGATTGTCCGCTGGTGGAAAGAGCATTTCTCGGGCTTGCAGTATAGGTTAATGTTCAGGAGCCGGGTTAGGATGGCACGAACATGGTGGAGGTGTTCGGCCTCGGACTTGGAGTAAATTAGGATGTCATCCAGGTAGGCAAACACCCACCTGCCCAGCATGTCGCGGAGGACATTGTTAATGAGGCATTGAAATACGGCGGGGCTATTGCACAACCCCAAGGGCATGACCTGGTACTCCCAATAACCAGTGGGTGTGATGAATGCGGTCTTCCACTCATCCCCAGCTTTGATGCGGACCAGATTGTAGGCGCTCCGGAGGTCCAGTTTTGTGAAGATCTGCACCTGGGAGATGGTGTCCAGAGCAGTCGAGAGGAGTGGCAGGGGATGGCGGTCCCTGATAGTGATCTTGTTTAGACCCCGGTAATCTATACAGGGACCAAGGTCACCTTCCTTTTTCTTCACAAAGAAGAAGCCTGCAGCACCCGGGGAAGAGGAGCGTCAGATGAAACCCTGCTGGGGGGCCTGGTTGATATATTCCTCCATAGCTCTGGATTCGGAGGGAGAGAGAGAGAAAAGGTGCCCACGGAAAACAGGAAAAAACAGGGAAAAGTTTCTGCGGAGGCATTTCAAGAAATTTGTAACCCCGGGATGTCTCCGTCAGCACAAAAACAAACAACCTAGCAACTAACCTCCCTGCTAACAAATCAGAAAAGACTAATTAGAAGACATCCCATCTCCTGGTGGCAGTGGGCAGCACTGTCCAGGATGAATCTGAGAAGTTAAACCAGCCACTGCCTCCCCAAAGACCCTGTTTAGATAAATAAACAAGACCCCCCCCCACCCCCCCCCCCCCCACCCCCAAGATCACAGCCACATACAGTTGTCGCAACACATTCTCTCTCCCAGCGCGCCAAAAACAAACGCTTGGTCAGCCACCCTCCGCCTCAGACCCCTGACGCCAGAAGTGCCCTTTTTCGTTACTTATGTGCGAAAAGGGATTTTTCCCTTTTCTGACTGCAGATCCCAGTGCAGCATAAAACTGACGTGATGGGATGTCTGCAGCCAGGGCACCAAACAAGCTCGTTGTACCTCACCCTAACCTTATCCTCTTATTTAACCTTCCCCTCACCCCGATCCTAACCTTAACCATGTTGCTAGCGAACACGTTAGCGATGTGCTGATCGCTCTAAAAGCCGGCTCTATGAAGTGAACGGCAGCAGCCGCCTCGTCATTGGTCGAGTTTGGACTGAGGCAACGCGAGGGAGAGGTTTCAACTACCAAGGTGGAGGTTAAAAATTGAGGGTATTTGTAACTTCCCCCTCGCCAAATGGTATGTTCTAACGTTCCCCTTGGGCGGCAAATACGAAAAATCACAGTCAGAATGCATGGGAAACAAACGCTTGATCAGAGTGAGAGTAACGTTTTAGGTAGCAGGAGGGTTAAGGTTAGGATGAGGGTGAGGGGAAGGTTATAAATAGTAAAACTTTAAGGTTTAGGTGCGGTTAAATGAGCTGGTTTGGTGCCGCATCAGCGGACATCCCAACACGTCAATGTAATGCTGCACTGGGATCTGCAGTCAGAAAAGGGAAAAACCCCTTTTCGCACATAAGTAACGAAAAAGGGCACTTTTGGCGTCAGGGGTCTGAGGCGGAGGGTGGCTGACCAAGTGTCTGTTTTTGACACGCTGGGAGTGAGACTGTGTTGGTTGTCGACGCATGACTGCCCGTTGGCCCCTTGTCATCTTCTTCCACATCATTTATGTGAGTGCATACAATGCATTCGTGATATGGAGTGAGATAAACAAAGACTGGAACGGGGGGAAACTGAGCCGAAGGAGGGTTTTCCTGGAGCAGCTTGGTAATGCACTGGTGAAACCTTAGACTGAGAGAAGACCGTGCCTTCCAAGAGCATCAGCAGCTGCTGTAGCTGTTGTGAGAGACATGTGGATAGAAACAAACACCCAAATTCCTCCAGTGGCACAAACAGCAGGCAAGAAGCGTGGCAGGTGTCAGGTATGTCCCACCCGCAATGACTCTAAGACTAGCATGACCTGTTTGAAATGCAAGAAATGTGTCTGCAAGGAGCATGCACACACTCTCTGCACATCCTGTGTACAACAGTGCAAACTAAAAGTTTGACTGTGGGGATAGAGACTGTTCCATGTTCTCCCTGATGTTCTCATTATGATCTTCTGTTTCAGAGGTGGGTGAACTTTCAAACATGTAATCCCCCAACACAAAAAAAACAAACACAAAAACAAAATATTAAAAGCAAAAAACAAAAAAAAATTTAAAAAATCTCTAACTCTGCCACTGCCGGTCCCAAGCCTGGATAAAAAAGAGGAGGGGAGAGTTAGACTTTCTAACTATGTGACAAAAAACAGATGGAAATAAATAAATATGTTTACAAGAGGGAAAAGAGGGGTCACCAACATCAATCATTATGGTTCATTCTGTAAGAATCATGAATGTGCACCTTACATTAGTAAAGATTTGGATGAAAGATTTGTAAGATACACTAACTCTAAAACTGAAAGTTTGACCTGACGGTGGCGCTACAGGAAAGGTCATATCATCACCAAAACCCATTAAGGTTCATCTTGTGATCATTAATGCTAGAAAATATGAGAAGATTTGTATGAAAACTTTTCAAGATACAATTATTTTAACTTTGGTCTGATGATTCAAGTTTGGCCTGATGGTGGCGCTAGAGAACAGGCCAGCTTTCACTATCAAGGGCTTATTTATGTATTTAACAAATAAACAAAGTGTCTGACATAAAAACTCAGGCAACAATTTTCAGTACATCATTTTCTGGAGGCAAATATCCCTGGGGTCAAATTGACCCCTGAGGGTGAAAAGTGTTAGTAAATTTGAGGAGAATAGGAGGGTTAAACAAACATTTAAGCTCAATAAAGTAGAATTACAAACACCACCAAGGGTAGTTGACTTCTATAATCTCAAACACCCCAAAACTGCTGTCTAAAGTATATAAGACACTGTCCAAAATAGACGATAGAATAGCAATCCCTATTGAAAAATGGGAGGTGGATCTATCAGTCAGCTTTGACCAGAACTTCTGGTCCCAAACTTGTTTAAAAACTTTTAAAATGATCAGACACTCCAATTTACAATTAATTCAGTACAAAATTCTACACAGAGTACACTATACAGGTCATCAGATGTTCAAGATGGGGTTTGTGTCGTCTGACACCTGTACACACTGCACAAACAACGTTCCTGACAATTACATCCACGCGCTGTGGTCCTGCCCACCTGTCCAGGAATTTTGGGGTAGAGTATGTGAGGATCTGTCAAAATGTCTGAAATGTCATATCCCAACCACCCCCTCTCTTTGTTTACTGGGAAACCTGGATGATGTCCCGATTGAAACATCTTATGCTCACGTGATTCTGACTGCCATATGCATCGCTAAGAAAACTACACTGTAAACCCCGATAAGTTCAGTCTACTTATAAAAACCAAGGTAACCCGTTGCCTTAAATATTTTAAGTAATGAAGAATTAGTTGAATTGATGCAGCTAAGCATGTTCAATGTACTTAAGACCTTAATGGGATTAAATTAAAGATTTAAGTTGAATATACAAATAACAAAAGTTACATTAACTTAAGATAATTAGTTTAACCAATGCCCCACCATCCATTTAGTTAACTCAACTTGTCGAGACAGCCTTACTCAATTACCTATCAAACTACATTGTGTATTCTAACTCAACAAACTTAACTTTTATAATACATAAAAATCAAAATATAATATTCAATCCAAAGAGCCAAATAAATGCATACAAAATATTTTATTAAACATTTAAATCTCAAATAACACATTTGTCCATGGAATGACAATAGAATAAAGAACTGAAGGGTAAAAAACATATCTGAGGTTTAGTTGTTGAGATATTTTACTGTTTATGTATTATTGATTGGTTTCCAGGGCCTGTCACTTACGTTGTTGCCCTGTTGTACATCATCCACTTCAAAAATAATCTAAACAGGAAGGGGAAGCTCAAATGCATAAGTGAGTGTGAAACCTTCAACAATCGGTACTGAGCACCAATGGAGGCTCCAGCTCTGTGCAGACTCATCTGTGAGTACTTGAGTGTTTTTGTTGAACCAGAGCAGCTTCCAGACTAACAGCTTGTTTCTAACTCTGCAGTAATAACATCATTTGTCCTGCTGACCGCACAAACACAAGGCTTTTACACTGCTCAGGATCATGGTGAGTTTACTTACTTGTTTCACCTCTCTTGGTGTGTCCTAAGGCAGCTGTGGCTACATCGTAGCTTCATCACCATCGGTGTGTGAATGTGTGTGTGTGTGAATGGATGAATCATACACTGTAGTGTAAAGTGCTTTGGAGTCCTCTGGCTCTGAAAGGGACTATACAAGTGCTGATCATTTATCATTGATTATAATTTACTCACATAGTTGTGACACACCTGGGAATTGCGTTAGTGTTCGGGTTTATAACAGCCAAACCACAAGTTCAGTAGGAAACCACCTAAAAGCATCACGTGTGTGCTGGCATCTCTACGCTGGCTCCCTTTAAGGTGCTAACTCTGGTGTATAAGGCTCTTACTTGGCCAGCCTTTTGAACAGGCATGCTCCATCAAGGGCCCTTCGCTCGGCTGACAGGGAACTGCTAGTAGTTCCATGTTCTAGGTACAAGTCAGGGGGGATCGTGTGTTCTTGGTGTTGGCTCTGAGGCTTTATGAGGTCCCTTTGATTGTGCACCAGTCATCTTTTCTGCAGGTTTTTAAGTCCCGTTTGAAGACACATTTCATGTCATGGCATTCCAACAGTAGATGTTGTAGCGTGGTATCAGTGTCATGTATGGAAGGTGGCATTTTAAATGAGGTTTTAAATGGTCTTATTTGTACCTGTAGCCTGCTGTGTTGTCCAGCACCTTGGGGATAAGGCCGTGGAAGGGGCTTTAGAAATAGTGAAATGAAATGAAAATGAAATAAATGACTGTATTCATGGCATATGTATCTGCTGAGCTGCCACACTGTAATTATGAGGTTTGTGTTTTTATTGACAATTAGATTAATGCACAAAACTCATTCATCTCCTCTGTCCAGATGCAGTTCTGCCTGAAGTCTTCCCAGACAGGCTTCAGTTCTTTGAATTTGAGTCTGTGTCTGTTCGCTGTGAGGGGGTCAGTGGGTCGAGCACACGGAGGGTTTGGAAGAAACTAAAGACATCATGTTCCTCTGAAGCGTGTAACTCATCCTGCACCGTTAATCCTGCTTTTGAAAGAGACAGCGGAGAATACTGGTGTGGAACTGGTGAAGGTGGACAGAGGGGTGCTGTCAACATCTCAGTTACTGGTATGTTCATCTAACATGTATGGGATTATAAAGGGGACGCTGCATTAATCTGGAGATAGGTCGCCATTTAAAATCAGCACAGTGCACCGTGATGGAACCTGTAAGGATTGTACATGTGTGGACGCCACCATGCTCAGGCGTAAAGATGCCCATATGTGAGCGACGGTGGCACATGAATAATTGGAAGGTTGCAGGTTCAAGCCCTGCTCAGTTTGTCGCTGTGTCCTTGAGCAAGACACTTAACCCACGTTGCCTGCTGGAGGTGGTTGGAGGGGCCGGTGGCGCCAGTGCTCGGCAGCCTCGCCTCTGTCGGTGTGGCCCGGGGCAGCTGTGGCTACATAGTAGCTCATCCCCACCAGCGTGTGAATGTGTGTGTGAATGTGTGTGTGAATGACTGTGTTGTAAAGTGCCTTGGGGTGGTGGGGGTGGGGGGTGGGGGGGTACACCGCATTAACTGAGAAAGCATTTTTACTTATTAATTTTGAAAACGATCAGTTGCTCTGAGTTTAACAGACTGGATGGGAAAACAGCCTTCTACCTGTAGTTCTTGCATTAGCTGCTGGCAGAAAATAAACAGGGAAATGCAAGGATTAGAAACGCCTGTGACATCAGCATCCCCATCTTGGCTTGCATATTCTATTCCTTTGTCTTGAACATCCACGAGTCCTTTAATCACGTCCAACAGATCACAGTCCAACACGAATGTTTCACGTTGCAGCTCAGTGTGTCTGCTCCTCCAACGTTTCACATCGCTCACAAACTTTGTGCATCCTCTCTTTGCACGTCTTCCTCCTCCAGTCCATTTTTATGGCGCGGTATGGGGTCCAAAATTAAGACTACTGCCCAGCAGCAGGAGGCTATATAAATTCTGAAGCAAACTACCGACCTGATTAATGATAAGCTGGCACCAGTAACTGAGAGGCTGGCGCTGCTTACTGAGAAATAGCACCTTTACCGGCGTTACTACTAGATACGCTAGGGACTAGCAGCCCTCGGCTGGTCATTGACTGGTTCACACACTCCCTCTGCTGTCTATAAGCATGGATAGGCTAGTGTTAACCTGGACGAGCTGGTGTTAGCATCGGAGAGGCTAGCCATTAGACATGCTAATGGCTAGCCTCTCCGATGCTAATGCCAGCCTATCCATGCTTAAGGTCCGTCAAGGGGGTAGGAAATCCAGCTAGGCCCACACTTCCCTCTCTCCAGCTATTTGGGCCAGCTCCTCCAGGGAAATCTGAAGGCGTTCCCTGGCTAGACTATAAACAGTCCCTCCAACGTGCCCTGAGTCTCTCTTTCAGGGGCGCGTCTAGAAATTTTAGCAATTTTCTAGGGGTGGCCATGGCCACCCTTGGCCTCCCCTTGGGGGCGCCATTGCTCTCTGTAGGTCTCCTCTTTGTTGGATGTGCCCGGAAAACCTCACCAGGGAGGCGTCCTACTCAGATGCTCGAGCCACCTCAACTGGCTCCTCTTGATGTGGAGGAGCAGCGGGTCTACTCCGAGCCCCTCCCAGATGACTGAGCTTCTCCCACCCTGCAGAGAAAACTCATTTCCGCCGCTTGTATCCGCAACCTCGTTCTCTTGGTCACATTAAAACAATGTAAACATGATAATAAATGCTCTACAGTGAACCAGATCCACACATTGTCACACCCGAAGAGTCGAAAACTGTCGCTGGGTGACCAAGCGTGTGTTTCCGATGCGGGGACGCTTTGCATCACTCTCCAGGTGACGGAGAAGTCTGAAGAGAAAACACTCAAGCTGACAAAGTAGAAATTAGGCTTGAGGCAAAATCTATGTTGTCTGATCAGCACCTTGATCTGCCACACCTGAGAGGTGGAGTGGATTATCTTGGCATAGAAGACGAGAAGTGGTCAGATTTAGACAGATCTATGAACAACATGTTCCTCTCACGTTTTTCAGCAGGTTTGGTGATCCTGGACATTCCTGCCACACCGGCAGCTGAGGGATCTAATCTGACTCTTCGCTGCATTGATAAGACATCTGAGTTGGTCCACATTACTGATTTCTACAAAGATGGTGTCTACCATAAGATTGGCTATAAAAGCCACATGACCCTCCAGAACATCTCCAAGTCTGATGAAGGACGCTACAAATGTAGCATCTCTGGGAAAGGAGAGTCTCCAGAAAGTTGGCTGGCTGTGGTCAAACCACAAACAGGTGATTGGAAAGTTTTAATGCATGTTTTGCTTTCTGTCAAACGTATAAAACACCCGCTGATTACTGTAATGCAACAGCCTGCATTCAGACAGGATCTGGCGGCCATGTGAACAAAACTTCACATCTAACCTGTTATGTTTCAGGACCAGATGAAGAGACTCCGCATCTCAGAGACCAGACTAAAACAGTCATCCTGCTGCGTGTGTCTCTGACGGCTGTCCTGCTGCTGCTGATCGGAGTGATTCTCATCAGAAAACACAAAAGTACAGCAAATTCTTTCCAGTGACCAACATTTATTCCGGGGAAAATCTGGGATTCATGAAATCTATAGTTAAATAATGAATGTGTTATTAGTTAAAGAATACCGACCTTTTTTTAAATGTTTATTATTATTTTTTATTTATTTATTTCATTTTTTTCCCGTGTCCTGTCTGGCTGTGAAGCAAACAGAATTGATGTCTGAATGCTGGTGACAAGCCTCACAGATTTACTCTCAGGTGGAGCATCAAAGCTTCTGCTTTTAATGTCACGCCTGATACTTAAAACTTTATTGTTATTGTTTTTGAATACTTTGTAATTCCGACCAGACACGGAGTCAGGGAAGAGACAAAAGGGGAGGGGGGAGGGGGGTCCACAAAAATAAACTATCAATGATGAACAGGGGTCTCCTTCTAGACCTGCAGAAAAGGGACACACAACAATACAACAGGAGCAAGCTATCCCTGCGTCAACCTGATGAGGAAACATAAAATGAACATTGTTTAACTGAAGAATCACACGATAATAAATCAAAGTGCATTAAGTGCCAACCACAGCCTTAACACATGTGTTGAATGTGCCCAAGTCCATACTTATGAGAGCACCATGGGGGCATCTGTGTGTGTACACGCGCTTGCATATGTAAGGTTTCTCTATGGGAGTGTCCAATAGAGAGTGTGAGGGGCCACAGATCTGCCCCCTAAAGATGTGCAGGAGAAGGAGGGAGCTCCAAGTCCCAGAGATCCGGGAGCTGCCCCAGAGCACAGGAACTCCAGGGAGACTGCGACCAGAAAAGCCCCCACCCCCTCTCGAGAGGCGCAGAGGATTGCCCCGGGGGGCCACAACCAGCAGCCAGCAGAGCCCCGAGAGTTATCAGCAGCAAGCCCACAGGCCCGCCCCGCAACCTCCCACCCCCTAGTTGGCCGAGCACGGAACCCAGCGACCCAGGACCCAGGGGGTGACCATTCCCTCCGGGGACCCAGCAGAGCCCAGGGACTCAGACCCCACTAGGCAGCCACCGGGATTAATCAGGCAGACGGCAAACATCTTAAACCCCCGACCCGGGAGCCGCGAACACTCAGGCAGACCAAGGCGCCACACTCCACACCAGGTGTGGCAGGGGGAGGGGAGGTGAAGATGTATAGCAGCAAAAGAAGTCCCAGGAGAGGGGAGGAGTCAAAGGCCCCACCTGACATATGCAGTCATATACAGAGTCACAGTCACACGCTCCCTCCCTCATGCTCACACACACACATACAACCAAAGACTTACAAAAATGAACGCTAGACACCCACTCATGCTCTCCATACACACCCTATTCACTCTGGTCCGGTACTGCTGCACAAAGGGTACAACCATCACCGGTTCCCAGAGTTAGCCCCTTTCTGCTGGAGTGCTGATGAGCAGAGGCTAAATCAAGTGTAATATAATACTGGTTAATGCAGAGAGTTTCTCTATTTTTCCAATTCAAGAGGATAGTTTTCTTAGCGATGCACATGACAGTCAGAACCACGTGAACTAAAGATGTTTCAATCGGGACATCGTCCAGCTTCCCCAGTAAACAAAGGGAGGGGGTGGTTGGGATATGACATTTCAGACACTTTGACAGGTCTTCACATACTCTACCCCAAAATTCCTGGACAGGTGGGCAGGACCACAGTGCATGAATGTAATTGTCAGGAATGTTGTTTGTGCAGTGTGTACAGGTGTCAGACGACACAAACCCCATCTTGAACATCCAATGACCTGTGCAGAATTTTATACTGAATTAATTGTAAATTGGAGTGTCTGATCATTTTAAAAGTTTTTAAACAAGTTTGGGACCAGAAGTTCTGGTCAAAGCTAACTGATAGATCCACCTCCCATTTTTCAATAGGGATTGCTATTCTATCGTCTATTTTGGACAGTGTCTTATATACTTTAGACAGTAGTTTGGGGGGTTTGAGATTATAGAAGTCTAATACCCTTGGTGGTGTTTGTAATTCTATTTTATTGAGCTTAAATTTTTATTCAACTGCAGATTTAATTTATTTTCTAAAAAGCTATTCTTATCCATTCCAAATTGGGAGACTATGCTGTTAAATGGGATGAAGTCCAATCTTTCATAAATGTGTTCCAGGAATAGGATTCCTTTATTTTTCTAGTCAGGAAGATTCATCATTTTGTTGTTTTGAAAAATGTCAGGATTATTCCAGATAGGTGTGCGTCTGCATGGTACTAGTGAAGACTCTGTCATTTTTAGATACTCCCACCATGCTGCCATGCTGCCAGAGAGGTGCTGATACTAATACTTTTGAAGCCTTCAAGTTTTCTTATGCTTGAGCTAATAAATGGTAAGTCCGAATTCAGGATACTGATCTAATACTAATAACCATTAAGCTGTTATTAGGAAACGTTGTGTTTTGTGTAATAAACTCTAGTCCCTACACCCCCAGCAGGTCCCTGAGGTCCAGTGATCAAAGCCTACAGGTTGTGCAGCACCAGGCTAAAGGTCAAAGGTGACAGATCATTTGCTGCCGTGGCCCCCAGACTCTGGACCTCTCTCCCCCTGAGCCTGAGATCAGTGGACTCAGTGGTCTCCTTTAGCTGGCTCTGGTGTGACCTTCACTCTCCTCATAATGCCGTCTGCCTATTCTGCTGGGATTCTCTGATTATTTATGTTATCTTTCCCTTTCCTTACATTTTTCTATCACAATTTCTGACTCCTACAAATGTTAATGTATTTTTATTTTTATTCTTTTGAAGCACCTTGTGATTTTATTATTAAAAGCCCTCATTTCTTCTTCTACTTTGCTGTTTTTACCGTTTCTTTATCTTTAGCCTCGGGTAGCATCACCAGCCACTTCACAGAGAGAGGCAGGTGAAATGTGAGTGTTGCATGTATTTAACGATCCTGTTATGTCCTGTTTGAATAACTTTATTGTCCGTTGAAGACAAACCTGCCCGTGAGGTAGAACAGACCTCGCGTTGTAAACGAACGCTATGCTGAGTTTCTACGGGACGGAAATCTTTAGCTTCACGATGAACAGAAATGTTCAGCTACCATCTGATGTAATTCTGCATGAAAAATAGAAAATAACGTGTGGGTTTTAAAACCTATGAGTTCATTTTAAAACACTGTGCTGCTGGTTCAGCGTGGAGTTAATTTTACACAGCAGCTCACCAAACTATTTCACATCCGCACCTGCAGAGCACTGAGGGTGGGAACTTTAGCTCAAGCAGAACAGCGAAACCACAAGATGCAGCAAAAGCTTCTGTCTCGTGGTTATTTAGACCAGGGGCGTAACCATCATCTCAGAAACGAGGGGGACCCGTTTTTCAGAGATCTTTGAGTTATTTATCATCCTCTCGCATTCAGTCTCACCTCACAGCAGTAGCTCAGGAGGTGGAACGGGTTGTCCACTAATCAGAAAACCATTTTTTATGATTATAATGGGTCGCAATGAGCTTTTTGTGCAGTCTGACGATGAAAGTAGTCTCCTACACCTATCTCCTGCATTAGCTTCTGATAGGAAATAGACAGTGAAACTCTTAGATTAGAAAAGCCAGACAGATCCACGTCTCACTGTCACTGAACATTCATGGACTCACCCATCTTGATCGTGACTGGGAAGGCTGAGACCAAGTACACCAACCAGTAGAAGCTAACTGTTAGCATTAGCAATTCCAAAACATGGCAGAACTCCCCCAGGCTCGTGTTATTTGTGATAAAGCATCCATGTGGGTGGCCATCGGTAGAGTGGTGTTGCTGTCATCCAATCAGAGCGCAGATGTCCCAGTATCAGGAAACAGCTGTGATGCATCGACGTATTGTTTGTTGATTTGCTGTTTTTCATTTGCAGCTAGCTTGTACTGTGTTTATTTCACCAGGATCGTTCACACACACACCTGTGTAGATATCTCTGCACACTTTTATATATTTTCTATACTTACAGATGAGGGTTTTTCCCCTTTGACTGTGATGTACACCGAGCTAAGTTGTGTCTTCTGCATTCATTTAGCTATAGAAGCCGTAACACCTGTGGGGCTTTATTGTGCCATACAGGTTCATACAACACCAGTTTTGGGACAGCGTCCAGCCAGGACCTGAGAGCCTCCGGCTGAATCTTCCAGCAAAAGCCCTGTTTACACCGAGAATGCATTTCAGTTATACCCTTTACTGACATCACTCCTGCATATCTCAAGAAGATGGAGACTGAGCTTGGATGCTGTTTCTGTTTCCCAATATGGTCAGCTGACTGCTAGCCAGCAAGCCCTGTTGTCTCTGCTAACCAATATGATTCAGTTCAATTAAAGTTTATTTATATAGCGCCAAATCACGACAAGAGTCGTCTCAAGACACTTCACATAGTAAACATTCTAATTCAGGTCAGTTCATTAAGCCAATCAGAAATAATGTTTCCTATATAAGGAACCCAGCAATCCTCATACTAAGCAAGCATTTAGCGACAGTGGAGAGGAAAACTCCCTTTTAACAGGAAGAAACCTCCAGAGGATCCTGGCTCAGTATAAGCAGCCATCCTCCACGACTCACTGGGGATCGAGAAGACAGAGCACACACACACACACACACACACACACACACACACACACACACACACACACACACACACACACACACACACACACACACACACACACACACACACACACACACACACACACACACACACACACACACACACACACACACCAAGCAATGTGTCTATGGTTACATTCTGATGTCTTAGTAAATATTCTATTTGGTGAGAGATAAGCTTTATTGTATTTATCCTAGTGGATCTATAATTAAACGGGTAAACTAGTAGTAGCACATCCAAAGTCAAGGAAAGCAAAAAGTTATAATCAGGAGAGGGAGAATGTTTAAGTGGTTAGCAGCAGTGTGCTAGACGATGGCCCCCTCCATGAGGCCACCACAGCTCAGCAGAACATCATTGTAGCTTCTTCTGGGGAGAAAAACACTTACAGAGAAAACAAAGTTAACAGCTGAAATTGCAGAAAATAATACAGTTAAAGAGCAGATAGTAGAAGAAAGCAGTAGAGTGTGGAAAGTGGTCAGTGTGTCCTCCAGCAGTCTAAGCCTATAGCAGCATAACTACAGAGATAACTCTGGATAATCTATCCTATTTAGATGGAGGCATGTTGGAGGCAGGGCAAGGGATATGGTCAGAAAACCTAGTCTTGCTGGAAGTGATGCAACACATCTTGGCTCCTACTGAAAAACAGGATGTTAAACCTCACGTACACAGTTTCAGCTCCAACATTGTTTTTATATGTTTCTCTTGGTTCCCTGTTTTGATCTTTAAATAGTTTTTTCCTTCTTGTGAATTTTAGTTGTGAGAGGAGATAAATAAATACAATTGTTGGCGCTTACTGCAACAACAAAACAAAAGGAAACCTCTGCAGATAAACGGTGAGATCTAGTTTTAAGTGAAGACAAAACACAAAGAAAAATATAAAATATTCAGGAAACTAAGTTGACATGCATTTCCTAAAGATCATTTACATTGTCTTTCTCACACACACACAATACTCACATGCACATACATATGCACGCACACACAGAGCCGGATTAACGCAAAGGCAAAGTAGGCACGTGCCTAGGGCCTGATTGGCTGGATGGGGCCCAGACAGAGGAACAAAATTAAAAATAAAGAAATTAAAAATTAAATGTACAAATGTCTTATGATAGAATTTGTAGATAGGAGTCCTATTTACAATTTATTTCAATATTTATTAATTAACTTAAAATAGTGACAATGTTTATCTTAACTATAGACCGTTTCATTGGCTACGTCACGTTAAGGCGCCACCCAATTAAGGACGTCAGAGAAGCGGTCAGAGTCAGAGCGGGACACAACAAAGCTGGCAGGTGTTTTTGAGTAGGCTAACTTTCACGATGCTTTCGGGTGCGGCAAAACATAAATAAATAAATAAATGAAGAGGAACAAAAGAAGAGACAGTGAGGGGCTTTACAGAAGCTTCTGTCGGGCTGCTCAGGCAGCCGTCCGACAGCTGTGAACCTGCTCGAGTCAGCAGAGCCAGAGGCCGGGCCCAAGCCAGACCCGGAGGAGACACAGCCCGAAGACGCGGTGGAAGATGCGGCGGAAGATGCTGTAGCGCCAACGCCGTCAACATCAACGCCGTTACAGAAGGACGAACTGGAAGAACAGCAGCCAGCCAGAAGTTAGCCCAAGTCTTACAGGAGCCTCTAGACCCAGAAAGGGTGTTAACAACTAGCTACCCATCTGATCCTGCAAAGTGGTACCAAACTGATGACAGGATGCGTGAGTACTTTGCACTAAACCATCCCCTTCAAAATATTGGATATTTCTCTGCATCACAGAGGAAATCTGGAGTCATAAACCGAAGCTTAACCAAGGAACATTTCTTCAGACGTGTTTCTGCTGTGACTGAGGCATGTGATGCTGGAAGGCTGAAGATTATCCCGGAGTGGAGAATGCTAAATGGTTTCGTTGGTAAGTGTTGCTGGTTTTATTAATTATTTTTCAAATAATTTTATTAATGTTCAAATAGCAAAACAATAAGTTCACACTCAGAAAATTGACACAGAATTTCTGATTCAGCAGAGGCAAAAACAGCCTGAATGAGCATAAAGCAAGATCAAAACTTAAGATGACGTTTTCATTTTATTAAAATACTTTTTTTAAGATGATAGATTGTATTAAATTTATACTGTAATAATTTAAACTGCGTGTTTATAGTTTGTTTTTGCACCTTTAAAACATGCTTCAGTCCATTCAAATTAATCTATTTATTCTTCAATGTCTCTCCCCCATCATGTGATTAATTTGTCAACATTCATAAATGTTGTAAGCTATTGTATTTAGCAGAAAATATTTTTAATTAAATGTAGCGATTACATATAAACAGAGCAAATAAGAGACACATATTTGCTCTGTTTACATAGTTTAATGACACCTAGTGGTTATTTACTGGTACCGCCTGGACAATGACACTCCCAATGGATAAGATGCGGATCATTTATTAGCATTTAATACAGCTGTGTAATGATGTATACATTATTAATATCAAAAAATAGTCTGATAGAATGTTTTACATACAACACGTGACTTATTTTGGCATACAAACAACCAATTTGTAACCAAAGACTAGGCTACGTAAAATGTGAATGAACTTTTATTAGTAACTTTGGTAAGTTTCAGATTTCAATTCATTAAATAACATCGATGGGGGGGGGGGCAGCCTTTCTAGTGTAGTCCATTTATTTAATCCGGCTCTGCGCACACACATTCTCACACACACACACACTCATGCATGAGCGCGCACACACACACACAACACACACACGCACAACACTCACATGCACGCACAACACTCACATGCACACACACACACACACACACATGCACACACAACACACACATGCACAACACTCACATGCACGCACACACATTCTCACACACACACAGTCACACACTCACACTCAGACACAAAAACATACACTCACACACACACATGCACACGCACGCACACACACATGCACACACACACACACTCACGCATGAGCGCACACACATTCTCACACACACACACTCACGCATGAGCGCACACACATTCTCACACACACACACTCACGCATGAGCGCACACACACACACAACACACACACGCACAACACTCACATGCACGCACAACACTCACATGCACACACACACACACACACACACACATGCACACACAACACACACACGCACAACACTCACATGCACGCACACACATTCTCACACACACAGTCACACACACACACACACACAGACTCACACTCACACTCAGACACAAAAACATACACTCACACACACACATGCACACGCACGCACACACACATTCTCACACACACACACTCACGCATGAGCGCACACACATTCTCACAGACACACACTCACGCATGAGCGCACACACACACAACACACACATGCACAACACTCACATGCACGCACAACACTCACATGCACACACACACACACACACACACACACACACACACACATGCACACACAACACTCACATGCACGCACACACATTCTCATACACACACAGTCACACACACACACACAGACTCACACTCACACTCAGACACAAAAACATACACTCACACACACACATGCACACGCACGCACACACACATGCACACACACACACACACATAGTGGCCATTCACAAGGCTGGAACCCACCCCCACCCCCCCCACCCCACCCCATCCAGTCCACTGGCCAGACAGGGCCTGGGGGGTCATCTCCAGCCAACTCCAGGCCCAGTGCCCCAAATCCCTCATGCTGTAAAGCAGGAGGAAGAGAACAGGGCGGTATAAGCGACCAGTGGACTAGGGGTCCGGGTTTCCAACTAACAGCTCGCCACCGCCACCTCTCAATTTCCCATGGGCAGTAAAGGGCGACATTGTCCTCTGCTGCCAGCGGATAAAAGAAGTGACACCGGCGATCTCTGATGGTGGATGGATGGAGCCACTAGCTGAAACGTGTCAGGTAAAAAGCTATTTTTCTACTAAACTGTGTAAGAAAAGAACAACAAATGGATTATGAAAATAACTCTGTTAAAGTTGGATGCACAGCTTCGGGGTTTCTTAGTTGAGGCGACCACAGGAAACAGGAAGAGGAAGCTCAGGTGTACGCATGACTCCTATGTGACTGAAACCCTCAGCAGTCCGTGCTGAGCACCGGTCATGGAGGCTCCAGCTTTCTGCACACACATCTGTGAGTACTGAAGAGTGTGCTGAACCAGAGCAGATATCAGACTGACAGCTTGTTTCTGTGTCGCTGCAGTGGTGAACTTGCTGGTCCTGCTGGCTGCACAAACGGAAGGAGGCGATGCCGCTCAGGAACACGGTGAGTTAGCAACAGTGTCGCTGTTTTGTTGTGACGTTCCTGGAGTTCCTCTGAACGCTGATTTCACTCAGCAAATGTACAACTTTAGTGGGAAATGACCTGATTATGTGTCCATCTGCTGAGCTGCTTTACTGTAACCATGATACTAGCAGGCCTGCATTTTATACAGGCCTCTAGGGTTCTAGAGCTCCCCAAGGCACTTTACAACACATCCAGCCGTGCACACACTCCTTCACACACTGATGCTTTTGCTGTGCAGCGCCTCGTGATTTCTATCTTAAGAGGCGCTACAGAGAAGATCTTTTCCCCGTCGTAGCCACAGCTGCCCTGGGGCTCTGTGACAGAGGCGAGGCTGCCATACAGGCACCGCCCGTCCCTCAGACCACCACCAAGAGGCAAAGCGTCTTGCCCAAGGGCACAAGGACTCTGACAGACTGAGTTTGCCGTAACATCGTCTCTTCTGTCCAGGCGCCGTTCTCCCCGAGGTTCGTCCTGACCGGCTTCAGTTCTTCGAGTACAGCTCTGTGTCTGTGCGCTGCGGGGGGGTGGGGGGGTCGAACGCGTGGAGGGTCTGGAGGAAACTAAACACAGCAGGTTCCCCTGAAGCCTGTGATACCTCAGCACCGTCCTGCACCATCAATCCTGCCACTGAGAAGCACAGCGGAGAATACTGGTGTGCGACTGGTGAGGGAGGACGGAGCGCGGCCGTCAACATCTCAGTTACCGGTATGTTCCACCGGCGGGTCTGCGACTGTAGCGGAGCGTGCTGACACCTGAACCCTGCAGACCAGAGTCACATCTCCATCTCCGTAACTCCTCAGCAGGTTTGGTGATCCTGGACATTCCTGCCCGGCCGGTGGCTGAGGGATCCGATCTGACTCTTCGCTGCATTGATAAGACGTCTGAGTTGGACCACATTACCGATTTCTACAAAGATGGTGTCTACCTTAAGATCGGCTACAAAAACCACATGACCCTCCAGAAGATCTCCAGGTCTGATGAAGGACGCTACAGATGCAGCATCTCTGGGAAAGGAGAGTCTCCAGACAGTCGGCTGGCTGTGGTCCAACCAGGTGATGGGATGTGTTTCATTTTCCGACGGGAACATAACGAGTAATGATCACAGCCTGATACCTAAAGTGTTCTTTTCCTGGACCAGATGGAGGGACCAGACCTCTCATGCTGCCGCTCGTGTCTCTGGCGGTCCCGCTGCTGCTGCTGCTGGTCGGGCTGATTCTCTTCAGGAAGTGCAAAGGTACCTCACTGATGGGTCGCCATTATTCCAGGGAAAATCAGAGATTTATTAAATAACTGAGTGTTTGGGATACTTACAATCCTGTTACTGCCCCAGGTTCTACACTATCACACTTTCTTGAAAGAAATCTTCTTTGCTTAACTTGTTTTTACTTCAGCCCCACGTGTCGACCACCACACCCCTGATCAGATGTGTCTGTACACCGTAGCGGTAAAACCAAGGCAGGTGAAAGGTGGGTGCTCGATCTGATTATCAGAGTCTTTTTAAAAGTGATGAACAACATTAAATAAAACTGTGATTATTATTTTATTGTGAGGTCAAAACAAACCTGCCTGTGTGGCAGAAAGGCTGCTTGTGTATGTCATGTTGGGTTTGTTATACTGGGAATGAACCTGCAGCTTCATGGGGAACAAAAATGTTCTGCAGCCTTTTGATTCTTTATAAACGAAAACAAGAAACGACCACGTAGAACTGAAATATGGGATTTACAAGGGAATAATAAAAGCCCTGTGGTGTGATGGTGTTAATGTTACACACCAGCTCACACAGATGTTTCAGATCCATGCCTGCAGAGCGCTGATAAAAAGCTTTATTGTGTTTATTTAGACAAAAGTATGTCAGAACAAACAGAATCAGGCAAAAGCTACAGCTAATGCTAATGTTGTGTGTAATCTGTGCATCAGTTTCTATTAGAATAACACACACACACACACACACACACACACACAATTATAATCATCCAAACTTGTGTCTTTTCCCTCAGAACCAGAAGTTGCCAGAGTTAGCGTCCCCGTGGATCCATCAGAGGAAACCATTTATTCCGTGATCAACTAGCAGGAGGCCGGGAAGGAAAGAAGTGCTCCTCATTACCTTTAGCGACAGTGACTGGATGAGAGGAACACGAGGAGTTGGTGCAAAACGCTTCCATGAAACAATAAAGCATGAGAGAGAGATCAACTTTGTCTTTGCCTACCCGGAAACCAAGAAGTGTAGGCGGTTGTGGAACGAGAAAACGAGAAGATGTAAACTCGACAGAACTTCCAACGCTGACGTCAGCAGCAGCAGCTGATGATGTCACAGCAGCTGCAGATCTGTGGTTTATTGCATCTGTGGGACTCCCATCAGCGTTGACTGGTTCTGTAGACCTACCTGCTCGTCTCTTCACGCCTTTGTGTGGACTTTAAAATAAAACTGCTGCTGTTTTATAATTACTGGGTGAGGTTAGCCACGAGTCTAACTGAACGCAAACCCTCGTGTGATATTTATACTGAGACCCTCACGTGTTGGCTTCTTACACAACAACAGCCTTTTGAGTCTATTCATTTAGACTTGCTGTTACTTACAGAGACCTGGTTTCATTTAGACTTGCTGTTACTTACAGAGACCTGGTTTCATTTAGACTTGCTGTTACTTACAGAGACCTGGTTTCATTTTGACTTGCTGTTACTTACAGAGACCTGGTTTCATTTAGACTTGCTGTTACTTACAGAGACCTGGTTTCATTTAGACTTGCTGTTACTTACAGATACCTGGTTTCATTTAGACTTGCTGTTACTTACAGAGACCTGGTTTCATTTAGACTTGCTGTTACTTACAGAGACCTGGTTTCATTTAGACTTGCTGTTACTTACAGATACCTGGTTTCATTTAGACTTGCTGTCACTTACAGAGACCTGGTTTCATTTAGACTTGCTGTTACTTACAGAGACCTGGTTTCATTTAGACTTGCTGTTACTTACAGAGACCTGGTTTCATTTAGACTTGCTGTCACTTACAGAGACCTGGTTTAAAACAGTCATAAACATGTTATAACCGGACCTGCTTGGTCACACGTCCATAGCTCTGTTCTCTTACAGCAAAATGGCTGCAGATGTGTTTCCTGGCTGTGGCCTGGTTAGCATTTTCTACCCATGGCTGTGTGAGTTTCTCTCCCACAGACCAAACATATGCATGTCAGGTTAAATGACTTGTGACTGACTGGACCTGTCCAGGGTTCTCCGACCTCTGGTCCAATGGCTGTTGAAGACAGACACCAGGTGAGAGAGTAAATGCTGACTGAATAATGTTTGAGAAATGTTTCTTTTTGATTTTTGTTATTTTCCACAAGAGGGCAGCATACTGAATGAAGGGGTAAATCATACCCAGGATTCGGCATCGTGTCCTCATGAAAGCTAAGCTAGATTAGCAAACAGCTGATTTTCAGCTGGAAAAGCAGACATGCAGAAATGGTTTCATCCAACAGAAACAGCAGATGTGCTAAACCCTTTCTGCTCTTCATTTTTCACTGAATCTACATAAATAACTGAAAAAGCTGAACACAATTATTTAAAAAACTTGAATACAAACAACAAAATTAAAGGAAGCGTATGTCACATCCATCTACATGTAATCTATGGTGCTCCTTGTGCAGTAATAAAAGAATGAGAGTCAATGACCCCTTGTGTTATGCAGAGGTGGAAAGAGTACTAAAATGTCCTACTTAAGTACGAGTACCAATACTTTGATCATTTTTTACTCAAGTACAAGTAAAAGTAATTGCCTAAGTTTTTACTCAAGTAAAAGTAAAAAGTGTTGTAAATAAAGTGTACTCAAAGTAAAAGTTACTTAGTTACATTTTTGTCAGCACAAAGATGGCTACATCAGTGCAAAACCACAAAACCAGTTCACAACACGCTAGTGCACACACACACACAAACACACACACACACACACACACACACACACACACACACACACACACCATAAGGCCATTAGAGGAACTGCAGTCAGCAAAATGCACACTCCCATGACGTTCAAGCTCATGCTCACTCACATCTGCGCTGGAATCCCGTCGCTCTTCTGCACTGGCAGGATTACTCATCAAAAGCAGTACTTTAAGTACTTTAAGAACCGCATCGCCTGTTTTTAATTCCAAAACTTGACCGGATGTCCAGACAGATCGCCGAACCCCTCTGTCAGCGTTTCTCCTCAGGAACACGACGCTCACCTCAGTGACTCGCTTACGTAGGAGGCGGATTTACAGTAGTGCGACATGACCATTCAGACACTTCCAAAAGAATCAGATATGTATCAGAATCAGTACCACATATGAAATCAATCAATTTCCCTCTGGTATTAATAAAGTATTATTGAACTTGAATTGAAAGTGACCTGGGCCGGATTTGAAAAAATCTGATCTGTTCTGTTCAGACTGTCACAAAACAATCTGATACGGGTCACATGTGGGAATAAATCTGATTTGATGCCCTTTTGGCTGCAGTGTGAACGTAGCCTTAACTACTCCACGTGGGACAATATAGAATTTAACTAAACTAAACCAAACGAGAGATTTTTTTAAATTAGGTGAATGCCACACTCGTTATTTCGTCTGTAAACTAATGTTGGTCATAAACTCAGAGGATGGATTCACAATTCTTCTAAATTTACCTTTCTTGGATAGATGACTGAAAATGACGTCTACTTTTTCCCACCTTAACTTAATCATTAAACCGCCGACTTTTCACAAACCTTTGTCACTTTCAGATCAACAATTTTCATATTTTCCTTTGATAATTAGTTGCAATAATGTGTTTATTATTTTTTCCAGAGTTTTCTCTAAATCATTTTTTGACTTGTTAAACATTCAGGTCAGGGTTTCAGCCAAAGGTAGACACTTAATTCAGTTTCATATTTGTATCCGTTTATTTCTTAGAAAATAGCCTAAAACTAAATCCCAGCAACAAAAGATAGAAACATAAATATTTCATAGCAGTTTTCTTTTTCTATTGAGGTCCTAACAAGGCAATAAAGCAGAGTAGGTGTAAGTGAGGGCCTCACTTGAACCTTTTTTTGCATCAGTTTTTGCTTGATTAACTTTATAGCTGTCCATCTGCACAGAGAGTGATGATGTCATTATTGTTCTCCCAGGTGATTTGCATAAAGGGAGACACGCCTTCTCCAAAAGTAGAGATTGCTGTTTGTTTGACTGCAGCAAATATCCTTGGGTTTGTTTTGCTCGTGTTGTGGGTAGAATACTGAATGCCCACATGAATTATCAAGGACACGCCCTTCTGCTGATTAGCATCCTCGGCCAGCGGAGGCTTTTCACTGTAGCACCATGAAGAGGGCTTGAATGGTGCATAAACGTATTTGTCTTTTCTTTCTCATTCATCGTGTCCGCTTACACCAGGGGTGTCCAATCCTGGTCCTGGAGGGCCGGTGTCCTGCATGTTTTAGTTTGAACTCTGTTTCATCACACCTGATTTCAATCAGCAGCTAATTAACAGGCTTCTGCAGAGCCTGACGAGCTGCTGCACAGGTGTTTCAACCACTGAATCAAGTCTGGCTGTGGTTGGCCTACCAAACCAATAGGAGCACTGCGATTGGCCCACCAAGCCGACCAATCTTTCCCCTACATGGGCTACAGTGCCACGGCTACTAAATACTTAAAGTGGACAAATAATGCAATCAGCCTCGCTGTGTACATGACCCGCGCTTGTATAGCGCCTCTCAGAGAAAGAACTCCAAAGCGTTTTACACTACAGTGTATCATTCATTCATTCACACACACACATTCACACACACATTCACACGGATGGTGATAAGCTACAATGTAGCCGCACTGACAGAGGTGAGGCTGCCAAGGACACAACAGCAGAATTCTCTGTCCAGGGCCGGGATCGAACCTCCAACCTCCCGATTACTGGACAACCCGCTCAGCCTGTTGAGCTACTGCTGCCCTTAAGAGCCGTTTACCCCTCCCACTTGGCCAGGACATGAATATGCTAATGAACCGCTTGATGATTGGCTGGTTTAAACCCGAGGGCCTCAGACGCTGGAGACTGCAGATCAGAGGAGGAAGGGCTCCACATTATGATGGTTTGGAGGTTTCTCAGAAAAAAAGTTTTTCTCTGGCATTTTTAAATGTTCTAATTTACATAAAAAGTAGGTCACACACAGCTTTGATGTTCTGGTGCGCTACTTTTGACCACCCAAGCTGTCTTTATACACAAACAACAAGAAAATGTTGGTTTAGACTATTTGTCCCCTCTAAGTATTCAACCTCTAAGTGAAATTTAGTCTCTTTTTTCCGAGTTAGATAAGTGGGGGAAAGCCTTTTGCAACCAGCCCAGTTATTCTCCTGATCTGGCAGTATTCTGTTAGCTTTAGCTTAGCATAAACAATGTTATTGAATGGTAGCGGCTAGAATTTCAACACCTGCTTTAATAAGCACAAATGTGTGGCAGTAGGCTTATAGCTGGTCAGAACAGCACGAGTTGCACTAAAAAGGCTGAGTACATAACAGATGATGCAGGTGCCCTTTGGAGCGGCTGCCTCGTGTCCCTGTGCCTTGCAGCGGTGCTTCGTCATGAAGTCTTCTAAACCGGCTCCTTTACGTCATTTTTTATTTTCATTTGCAGTGAATATGATTACTGAGATCGCCAAGAAAAAGTAGGATCAGTGCCGAGTCTTTTTCATGACTTTTTGACATGAAATGCTAACTGTTACCATTCACTTACATTGTTTATGCTAAGCTAAAGCTAACAGAATACTGCCAGATTATGAAAGCGTCTGAGATAGTTGCAAGGACGTAATTTTCACTTAAGAAGTGTGGGGGGGGGGGGGGGGGGGGGGGGACACGGGGGGGTATCTTTACAGTATGCTCTATTGGGAAACAGGCTTCAACACAAACTTTTGTTTTCCGCTTGGTCCTAGAGCTCAACCAGTGTCAATTTAATATAGCGTAATATTGTTTTTGGATGGTAAAAAGTGCAGGGGTCAAAACTTGACTTTGGAAAAAGTGGGGGGGACATGTCCCCCCTGTCCCCCCCCCCAAAATTACGTCCATGGATAGTTGCTAAATCCTTAACCCCACTTAATTCATTCTGAGGATTATGCCAACATTTTAATTAGTGGTCGAACATCCCGCTCCGCTGGCTGAGGGTGCTGATCAGCAGAAGTGTTGCACATGACAATGACTGTGGGCATTCGGGATTCAACCCACAACCAGAGTAACACAACTTTTGCTGGAAACACTCACCTGGGTCATGACATCACCGTCAGCTGCGTGGCTGCAGCTAAACAAGGCATTAGTGCAGAGGTTACATGTATAAACATAAAAGGTGTAAGATGGTGTGTTTGCATGTAGCCAAACGCCGTTTAGGTGGGAGTATTGCCGCCAGCCACACAGCTGATGGTGATGTCATGATTTTCAACATTTCTCAAAACTAAATCTGCACCTTTTGTCTGCTGGATTAATCCTCCAGGATGCAGTTTCTTACACAAGGCTTAATCATTAAAGGCTCCAGCAGTGGAATAATAATCCAGATTGCATAATTGCTGTCAGTCAGAGGTCTGCAGTCATTTCCAGTGTTCAGCCTGAAATTTCTTTGCATGCTTAATAGTCCTCTCCTCGGCTCACCACCTCCTTGCAGGTGGGCCTGAGGAGGACGGTGTGCTCGTACTGGGCGGTGTAGCTGCCCTTGATGTCGCAGAGAGGAGGGTAAGGGTCTATGATGCCGAGGTCACACAGGTTCTTCAGCGCCATCAGGTACTTGCTCTCACCCAGACGGTCCAGCCAGCGGCGGCAGAACGCCAAAGTACCAAAGTTCTCGTTGATTACATTCAGCAGATGTTTAGCCCGTGGGAGCCTAGCACAGCGGGGGGGAAAGAGAAAGCATGCAGTTGACCCGTGTTCTCTGAATCAGGTGCTAGGATTAGAGTAAATAGATGCAAACCTAATTGGCACGTGTCCAACACTGAAATTCTTCATGTAATGAGAACAGTCCATGTCATCGTGGACGGCTCCTCTTCCGGTGCTGCCAAAGGTCTCAATGGCAAACACATCACCTTCCTGTCAGGTACAGACATTTACGAAGCTGCTGACATCACAAGAGGAGTTTCCAAGGGTAAAGGAGAGAGAGAGAGTGTGTAGCTAGAGCGAAGAGCCTCGGGAGGAAGCAGAAAGGTGTCAATTTCATAAAGAAAATGCAAGTTGACAGCCACTGACACATGCATGAGTGTGCGTTCCTGAGCAGCGTGTGACTGGATTGGACGGGCTTCAATGACAGTTTGCGTCTCTAGCAGAGCCTCTGGGGTATTAGCCGATAACACTGAAACGCCCTCCGTCACGGCACAGATAATCAGTCAGAGTGCCAGCGGCCCCGTGGCACGCCCAGCTGCGGCTCCAGCCGCGCACTCACCCATCACAAATGCTTCTGTCGCACCGACACGCTACGGCTAAAAATACAACACACGGCTGCAGCTGCATCACCCCATCAAGTAAAAAGCTTGATGCAGCTACTCGCCAATTAAACCGTTCACCTTTGGCCAAATGGAGCCATTTGCTGCACATAAGAAGCTCCGGAAAATAACGAGCCGCCACATGTGGCCGCTAGTTTTAAAAGTGTTAATTAAAGAGCAGATGAGTGAGTTTAAGCAGCAGTGAAGTAAAAACGTCTCACCCCAGCGGCTCAACTTTACTCTTTTAGCACTTAGAGCAGTTATTTATGTGCAAGGTGAAACATGCGGGCATCGTTTCTGCAATAAAACGAGACTGCAGCGCTGCTTTCTGTGTCGGTTTATTCACAAAAACTATGAAGCATATTAGAGATAATGCTCTTACACAGCCTTAGCTGCAATATTGTATTTAGGGGTGGTGACAGTTAGACGTAGTCACATTTAGGTCCCCCAAACAAAAAACAGGTTTTACTTATGGAATTATAATAAAACTGATTTAATTTATATTAAAAAAAACATTTTCTAAGTCAAATCTAAAGATGTACATTTTAAACTGAAAATAAATGTGGTTTTATTAAAACTATGTAGTTAATATGCTAATTCAGACTGCAGCCTGAGGAAACAAAGGAGTGTGAAGAGATCTCCTATCTAACATCTCAGAAGCTCTAAAGCCGCGACACAAAGGTTTGTAATCATCCATTAGCACCGGCCCAGCTCCACCTGGTCCAGCTGGATGAACACTACGTCAGCAGCAGGTTCCAGGTTGCTGCTGACATTTCAGTACCTGCTGGTTCCGTGTGAACTGAGCCAGGCCAAAAATGTGATGTCAGCCAGTGTTGTTGACTGACCTCCTGGGGGCGGAGTCACTGATCTAAAAAGGCTAGGTTATCCAGAGTTATCTCTGTAGTTATGCTGCTATAGGCTTACCCCGGGTTTCCACGGGAGCCGTCAGCAGCGCGTTATATGGGACTAGATTTGGGCCAATAATTTCAAGAAAAACTCTTAGAAGGTCAAACAAAAATTAAGAATGTGCGTGAAAAAAAATTAATTGCAAAAAAAAAAAATCGTTTCAAAAGTGAAACTTACTATACGAATCAACTTATTAAAATGAGTAATAAAAGTATTTGTATTTATTATGTTTGACTCCACGTATTTTTCTTTTCATTTTCCTTTGTTTCATTCTCACTGCTCAGATTTTTGCTCTCGCTACCAGATTTGCAGTTTCACTTCTCGGCTTTCTCCTTTGCGCTGCGTGAGGTTTTGATTGCAATTCTGGCCCAACCCTCTCGGGTGGGTGGGACATAAGAGAAGTGCTCTCCCATTGGACAGTGTGATCCTGAATGACAGTTTGTGACCCGGAACCAGAAGTGACGCTGTCCCGCGATTTTACTTGTTCCTCACGGGTCTTAGCGCCACCCACTTTCATATTTCCCCTGTGTACTGTGGATCAAAGTGAGTATTGATCGTTTATTTGATATTTTCTTGGAAACCCTGAGTTAAAACCCTTAAGTAAAGCCAAGTCAGGCATTAACCAGACGTTAGATCGCTAGCTACCTAGCCAAAGTGCTAGCCAGTACCCGAATGCTTTAGCAGGGCTTTGGTTGGTCACCTGCCAGTCTAAGCGAGGAACGGTATCATAACTAAACCAGCGCATATCACCCACCCCCACCCCTGCGTGTGCAGCCTACATTAATAATCTTGTTGATTAGCCATAGGAATCTGTGCAAAGTCAGAGAGTTTGTAGCTACTGGAGCTAACCTGTGTTTTAACTGAAGTCATATTTTTTTTCACTTTAGAGTAATGCAACAGCATGGCTTCCGATAAAGAACCAAATAAACAAGGCAGAAGGACTCAGGTATATGTTAAATGTATACTGAAGCGTATGTTCAAATTGAACTGAAGTTTTCTTATGTTGGGCTATATAACACAGTTAATCCTAGGTGATAGTATTAGTCAGGTAAATATCAGTCTCTCCTCTTGGCCAAAGATTTGTCTTGCCAACAGCATACAAATTTGAGAAATAATTGTTTGAATTGAGCTTTTTATAATGTTTCTGAACACAGAAAGTCCAACATTAGAGGCTATATATATTGGGGCTATTACCTACGTATGTATAAGATGCAGTACTTAACCATTACAACTTCACTCAACAGCAAAGATCTCCCCAAGTTGCTGAGGCGGCCACAGAGGCTGTCCAGAATATTCTGTCAGTTTTGAACCAGTCATTGGGCAACAGCAGAACAGATAACAGTCAGGGACAGAACTCAAGGCAGCCGCAGAGCATGGATGAAGAAATGGCCAGGTCTAAGTTTAATCATGTTTAAAAATAAATATTCTTCTACCATGTTATGAGCAGTGCTTTATTTGAATCAACTTTATATATATATATATATATATATATATATATATATATATATATATATATATATATATATATATATATATATACTTTTTTTAACTTATGTTTACATCAGTCAAAGTGACTGTTTATTATTTACAAATCCTGTCAATTACAGGTCTTTTCCTGGACTGTTTAGGCGGGGGACAAAGCGAAATTCACCATGCATGTACAGGCCAACAAAGATTGCCAAACACTGGAGCTCATTCAACTTTACAGTTTTTCTTCTGTGCAAAAATTGTGACACAACTCCTTCACCTGTTCAAGACTTGCAGCACATGCAGGCAGGTCTGGGAAAAAGAACTCTTTCAATGCCAAAAGACTTTACTCATGCAGAGGTACTTATTTTCATAAAAATGTAATTTTATTTGTGTTGACAATCACTATCAACAGGCAGCAATATGTATTAGTTGTAAATTAAGAAAAACATAAATTTGTGCTTGTCTTGTATTTTAGGTCTCCAGCTTGTTTCAGAGTACATATCCAAAGATGAAAACAATCAGTGGTGGATGGCTTTTGTACAAAGCAGCTGGTATTACAAATAACTCATCTGTATCTTGTGATTGAGCTGGTGTAGTTACTCACTGCTGAGCTCCTCTGACTTTTTCTAAATTTTGGCAGGAGGAAATGGACGGCGCCATTTATCTGTTGTTCCTCCAGAATCAGAGGGATACACTGGAAGTACAATAAGAAGTGCATCTGCAGGGGGGAAAACCATGCTGTACATTGTTCCTTTACAGGAAGAATTTGATCTGACACCTCTACCTCACGATGCACAAGAATTTGGCCTCATGCCAAAGGCTGAATGCAAGACTTGCCTTAAAATCATGCCTTTGCAGCTTCTTGCCCTACATGTAAAACAGTGCAGTGCCCCAGACACAGTTTCTGATTCAGAACTAGATTCGGAACCAGAGGTAAGTAAATGCAAATTATATGTGTAATTACTTTTAGGGATTTTAGATGTCAAGCAACCTTATAAATAATACACTTTGTTGGTCTACTTTAGGTTGTTGAGATACCCTGTCATTATGAAAAAGTAAGTCATTTTATAAATGTATATATATATATAATCTTTCAGACTGTCTTCTAATATTCTGTAATCGAATTTCTCTGTTTTAGCCAAAAGAAGGAACATGTCCTTTGTGCCAAGTGGTTTTCCCAACCAGGGATTTGGCGATACATGCTAGTGTCTGTGGCGACGTTGGAAGTCACTTGGACAGGTGAATGACTTTATGTGTACATGTGTTCCAACCAAACCAAGGTGCAAATTACAGCTGCAAAATGTACAGTTTACACTGAAGTGACAAAAACTGCAGTCCTCCTCTGATCCAATGTTAAAAATGCCAACTTCATATCATAAATAAACATGTTTACAGCCTGGTAAAAAATAACATTTTAGGATTATTAGGCATGAGGGAGGTGAATTTTTTTGTAAGTCATCCATTTTAATGTAATTAAAGCTTAAAATTAGGAGTAATTATTTGATTTACAGGTAGCAGAAGAGTCATCAGTGTTAACAGTTTCCCTCCTGCTTCTTCCAGGGAAGACCTCAGCCTTTGCCCCATATCGACAATGTTACAGAGAGTAGCCGAGTCTCCCAGTTACTGTTTTCTTGTTAGAAGTGCCCGCCAACCTCGGTTCTCTTTAGTTAACTTGTAGCTACATAAGCTAAAACTTTGTTGGGTGTCAATCTTCTGCCTCACAGCCTCACTCTCGGCTCCATTTATGTATTTTCTGTGAGAGAAAAGACGCGTGATATAGCCAAAATGGTGATAATGGGAGTCACCCACTGGGCTTCAGCTCTTCAGAAACCTCTACAGGTGGCAGTGTGTATTAGTCTGTCTTCTATATACAGTCTATGGTCCCAACCCTTAAAAGTGAGTTAGAAATGCATGCCCATTTATATTCTCCAGTACATTATATTTTCGGTTAAGTAAAACTAGGATTTGAGTAATTCATATTATTTCAATAACGTATCAGCTTTCTTAACTATGTTCTTCTATCTTTATTTTTCTTTTTACAGTCCTGCCTCCTATGACTCTGCCAGTCCAGCTGGGTTACAACTGCTTCAGAATGAAGAAATGTCCTGGTACATGATATTTTCACCCTACTTTTGATTATGGAAAAGAGATCTTACAGCTGCTACTGACAAAAATCTTTGTTGAAATATTTTTGTCAGTATATTGTACTTCTTTCCTTATGCTGGATTAGTTTATATCAACACATTGCAATTCCCCACAAGTTCTCTTTTTGAGATCATTGGCAGCAGGGTTAAAAAGGGTACAGTCTTACGAGGAGTTTGGCTGTGTTACTTTTTTCTGCCACTGCAGTATAATATGGTTTGTGTGCAAGAACCTCAAATGTATGTAATTGTTCTTTTGTTCATAAACTTGTCAGAATTATTGTTTAATTGTCCTGAAAAAATGTTCTTGTTGTCTTAACAGTGAAGAGGATGTGCTACGATGGCTGGCAGCTCAGGTTGATGCGAGCAAAGAGTTCTGCCTTTGTGTGTCCAGAACTAATCTCATAGAGCGTGGACTAATGCTTTGGCAGCGCCAGAAACACAGTTCACCACAAAATGTTTTGAAGGTAACTTTCATGGGAGAGGCAGGGGTTGACACAGGTGCTCTGCGGAAAGAATTTCTTACAGGTTAGTTAATATATTTGTCCATAGTCAACATGAAAGTAATTCATATGTTTTCAGCAACATCTTCACTGAGTGTTGACAGTGGCTTCCTAACCTATCTTTATTTAACCAATTTCCTAGAAATGATTGCTGGTATTGAAACCAGACTATTTGAAGGTGAAGATGGAAAAGGCAAAATGCCCAAATACTCCATCAATGACCTGGATAACGGGCTGTTCCGGTACAACTCAGTATCATACTATTACACAGTGCACCATCTACAGACATGCTTTTAAATCGCACTGTACTCAAACTAGTGCATTTCTTGTCTTTTCAGTGCTGCTGGTGAAATATTTGCTGTGAGCTTAGCTCAAGGTGGCCCAGCACCAAAGATCTTACAAGAATGGTGCTATGATTTCCTTTTAACTGGAAATCTGGAAACAGTTGATGTGAAGGATGTGCATGACCAAGAGTTGTCTTCATTAATCCAGATGGTGTGTTGCACAAGAAATGCATTTATTTTAGAAAATGATGCTGTAGGTAGATTAAAAGCTGGTTTTGGTTTATGTTGAACAATAATTAAGAAATCACTTGTATTACTATACTTACACTTTTAATACTATAACATTATACTTAAACTTTTTGTATCCCCTTTGAAATATTTTTTTCTTAGTATTTGTCCCATCTTTTCGTAAGGGCTGCCATTTGTATCACACCCAGGTGACTAATTCTATGATGTAATGATAATTATTTTTTTAAAGTCCAACATGAATGATTAGAGAAATATAAGTGCCAATCAGCGCAGTGGCCTAGTGGTATGAGTGTCTGCCCTGAGACTGGGAGATTGTGAGTTCAAATCCACAGTCAGTTCATACCAAAGACTAAAAATGGAACCCAATACGTCCCCGTTTGAAGCATTAAGGAGTTTGACTGGGTGGGTAAACAACTAAATAGTTCTAGAGCACGGTGCCTGTGTCTGCAGCTCACCGCTCTCAAAGGATGGTTACAATGCGGATATGTTATTTCACCACACAACAGTGTGTGTCACAACTGCTGGGACTTTACACTTAAAGGGGATAAAGTTGACAAGTCTGTTAATATATGCACAGTGCAAACAGATTAGATATAAAAAATTATGGAATTTGGTATAATTATGTATAATTCTGTATTTATTACTGCCCTTAACTCCAGGTTGAAGAAGTGGAGGATTTATCATCTTGCACCGAGCAAATCATCAACTGTGGTTACACGGGACCAATTAATAAGGACAACAAAGACAAAATAAAGAGGTATATTAATTCCTTGTACATCATAATTTAAAGGGCATATGTTGTGTTTCTTATCATGTGTGGAGGTTGATTTAAGGATATAGTTGTGGCATCAGCCGAGTTGCCACTACTATCCCAAATGGTACACTTTGGACACAAGTTCTCTGTACAGCAACATGCTGTGCTGAATAAGTATAATGAATTTTTTTCTGTATGTGAGAAACTTTATGGTCCCCCAAAATGAAAATGTTGATTATATTGTGACCTTTCCGCTCTAGCCATCTTCTAACCTCATATTTGCATCACTTATTTAACTAAAAGGGTTTTCTGCAGAAATAATTGAAATGGAATATACAGAGGATACATCTTTCAAAATTTTAGACACAATCATAACATGTAAAATTTTTTGTGTGCGTGAAAGCTGAAGGTGTCTCAGGGTTTAGGACTTCACCTTGTGGCTGGTAGGTTGCCGGTTTGAACACAAGCGGTGTTAGTGTCAGCTGTTGTGACAAGACACTTCACTAATTTTGCCTGCTGGTGGCTGTCTGATGGACTGATGGTACCTGTGCTCGACAGCCTCTCTGTCAGTGTGCCCCAGGGCAGCTTTGGCTACAATGTAGCTCATCACCATCATTGTGTGAATGGATGAATGAGTGGTTAGGTAAAGGGTTCTGAAGTCCTCAGAGTCACAAAAGGGCTATTTAAATACACGCCATTTATCATATACGGATCTGTGTATGTGAATGTAAGTCATTATTTGCTTTTGTTATCTGTTACATTTAGGGCAATTATGCTGCACTCAGCTGCAAGACGAACTTTAATGCTTCGCCAGCTCCGTGAGGGATTACAGCTTTATGGCCTGATGGGAGTCATGGAAAAAAACAGACAACTTTGCCGGGACTTGTTTGTTGCTGGGAACAGCGATGAGGTAAACTAGAAAGATTTTTTGGACAAGAGAATTGTTAGCTTATCTGTAGCTCTGACAATGAGGAAATTACATTGTTGTAGTATTTTTTCTTCTAAATTACTACATCTCTTACGTCCCTCAGCCCGCTAGGAGAGATGTGGTGGAGGGAGTAAGGAAAAGGTGTGTGTGGTTAATAATAATTGAGGAAGGTGTCGCTCAAACAAAGGGCTTTATTAAACAAACAAAGGAGGACCGAAAGGAGCAATCTATAAAGGAAAATGGTTTAACATAAAGTACAGCCCCCCGCTGGGATACAAGCTGAAATAGTCTTAACCAAAACACAAAATGGGAGCAGTCCTGATTAATAGTCACTCTTTCTAAGTCGAAGTCCTATACCAATCTAAAGTCAGTTTGCCGGTTTGTCAAATACCATAAATCCTCTAATACAGGCCCGGGCCTGTATTTGACCCAAGCTCCAGGCCTTTATTGGAAGGAGGGCCAGTATTAGAGGCAGGCCTCTATTTCTATTTGAGCAAAATGAACTAATGGTTCGCTGGAGTTTTTGACAATTTAAATTGCGCCCACATTTTCAAAGTTAAACACATTTCTTTTAACAACGGTAGTTTCTGCTTCAGCCCTCTCCCCCCCTCCCCCTGCTTCAGCCCTCTCCCCCCTCCCCCTGCTTCAGCCCTCTCCCCCCTCCCCCTGCTTCAGCCCTCTCCCCCCCTCCCCCTGCGCAGCGGCCGCAAACTCACTGATGCGCCTGCAGCCTCTCGGAGTTCCTGCTGCTCTAAACATTAAAATAATTATTTCATTTTCTGTTCCTCACTTCTGATTACCTTCAATGGTGTCTGTTTGTTGCAACCAGCAGGTACAAAAACTAACTTGTTTTTATTTGACTATTTTTCTGTCCTGTCTGTTTATTATCTTCCTGCATCTCCTCTCAATCCTAAAGAAAAACTGCTACCTGGGTTCATATATATTCACCTCATGAGTTACCTTTGAACTGCAGTTCTAAAAGATCTACCAACCGCTAAAACAGCGGAGTGCTCGCTGCTTGCCGGCCGCATCAGTGATCGGTGTGTCACCGGAGGACAAGGTGATGCGCTCCGCTCCACAGCAGCAAAACACATCAGGCGCAAATAAAAGACAGAAAACATTAAAGGAAATGAACCAACATGAACGATCACGTGTCAGTACCTACGCTCTGGCACAGCGCATTGCCCCCCCGAGCGCAGGAGCTTGTCACCTGCTGATAGCAGGCTGCTGTCTTTTCCGAGGGCTGCATCTTGCCGGTCATTATCACGTGACAGCGACTAGTCGATGACAGGCATAAAAAGTCACTATAGTGAAGTCGACTAGTTCATACAACCCCTGCTACTGCTCCCCAGTGTTCTGCAGCATAATCAGCACGTTCTCTTTGACTTTGATATCAAATTTTCGCCTCCTCTTCGTCTCCGCACGGTTAAAGTTACCCTCGCCATCTATCACTGGCAAATCAAAAGTGAGACGATGACACAACCGCCCCCCGTACTTGCTTATTACCACATTCCACCCGGCCACAATAAAATACCGGCCATTATTCACCTCCGCCGACACCGGCCAAAATATGATACCCGGCAGTTAATTGAATACAGGCCAATATTAGAGGATTTACGGTACGAGGTAATCTCTGAAGATGAGTCTATATACGAAGCTAACAAGTGCTAAGCACGCGAGGAGAAGAGAACAGACTGAACACCTCCGTGTCCAATCTATCCTGAACCTTCTCCCCGAATCTGTGTCAGTGACAGCCTTTTACCAGCAGTGGTGTGATTGGAATCACAGCTCAATAATACCTAGCTGCGGATGTAGCCCTGGCCAAACACCCCCCACCCCCCCGACAAAACACGCCCCCCTGTTGAGCTATCCCCGAGCTCAATAACGGCGGCCCTCCCAGCGAACAACACAGTTGAAAGAAAATAAATAAAGAAATAGTAATAATGTAATTAAACAGACAGGACTCCAGGTTTAAATATGAATGTATGGATTTTTTTGGCCATCCCCAGTGAGATTATTTTTGTTTCTTGCATACACACTTTATGGCCATCCCCAGTGAGATTATAAAACACAGATACCACCAACAAATAATCAGTTGCCAGACAATAGGCACAACATACCTATGCTTACTGAAGTTAGCAGGTGAGTTATGTATGTGCAAGTGTTTATTTTAAATGCAATAAAATTAAAAATTATATTAAAAAATTTGCGTCCATGACGTCTTCCCCCACTGCCAATAATGCTTAATTTTATATAAAAGTGTTTCAGAAAAAAATTACGATTGCGCTATCTATCAAACTATGTCTTAAACGTTCAAATTTCTAGTACAAAATCTTCGCAAGTTGTAAAAATATAAATCTATCTTTACCTGAACCGTCATTTCCATCTCTTGCAACACGCATGCGAGTTCTCGTCTTCGTACATGCACGCGTGTTTTGTACATAGGGGCGTGTTTGGACGGGGGGCGTGTTTGGCCGGGGCTACATCCACAGCTAGACCTTACACAGCTGGGCAACTGGAGGATGGAGCCAGGTGAGGATGTTGCTGCTGAGGCCATCTTGTGGCTGAAAAGGGGAAGCGCATGTAACATAATAAAATTTTGTGGAGGATGATGGCTGTTCGCAGAATTGATTAGTGTTACTTTTCTGTCTTGCAATGGAAGCCTCCTACTAAACACACTGTTCTCTCTTCATTAAGTCACATAGAAATTGTGAAGATTTCACTTTTACTTTCAGAACTTGTTCATCATTGTTTTGTGGATAGGAATCTTGATATGTATAAACAGTTCAATAGTAGATATATGTTAACTGAGAATTGTTTGGTAAAAGTCTCAAAATATAATCTTTGTCAAAGAAATTTAACATTTTTTGCTTTTCTTTAGGTTGACTCGTTTTACATTGTGTCACATCTGTGCCCAAAGATGAGTGAAAAAGGAACACAAAGACATGCAACAGAGATACAAATCCTTAATAATTTCCAAGACTTCCTGCAGGAGCTTGAAGGCAAGTTATAGATTAATTTTAAGTAGTATTAAGCTTTCGCCCTGTAAGACCCAACCCATCCCAAAAATACAGAAAATTCAAATTTTTGGGAACTGAGATGTTTATTAGACTTTCTAAGAAAATGCACAAATGTTTGTTTCCTAGATCATGTTTTTCATGATGTATTTTTTGTATCGCATTTCATACATAAGGTGATTTGGTCTACTTTTAGTTAACAACAGTATTAATTTCTTATAACAAATTATTGTCCATAAGACATTTAAATTTTTTTTCCTCTTCTTTGATAGTTGACAGTAATAATTTTCCAAACCTTTTTAGTTCACGTCTTTGGTGTGTTCTTGCTGTGTTTAGTTTCAAATTCCATCTTTCAGTTCTTTTTAAAACACAGAAAAAGTTTATTTACCTGCAACATTTCGTTTGCGGCTGCAAACATCATCAGGCTGACGCTGATGGTGGCGTCAGCCTGATGATGCCCGCTCTCCCCTCTCCGATGATGTAGTCCCATGCACGATCCGAGTAAATCCATCGTCTCTGTTCATGGTCCCACATCCACGTCTCCTTATCTCAATTGCTTCTTTTATCCATCTTTTGTATTTTTGTTGTTTCAGTGTTTGATCCTTGTGTTGTCCCAGTCCATTATATGGTTTTCTCTTGTGCACTGATCTGTTACGGCTGACTTCTTTATTGTACTTTCTGCTTCATGTTTTGCTGCTCTTGTGTGTTTTCGACTTGCCTCTTTCTCGCACTCCTTTCTGTGTTCTATTGTTCGTGTGTTGAGTCGGCGTCCGGTTTCTCCTATGTGTGTTTTATTGCAGAGTTTGCATGGGATTTCGTAAATAAACTACCAATATATTTCGAAGCTTTTCTTGTTACTCATTTCAATTTATGTAAAATAACACAGAATTTGAATAGTAAATGTGAAGATCTTGCTGTTCAGGAGTTAATTTCTTCATTTTAATGTTTCCCCAGATGGTTCTGCAGAAGATGGACTGTCAGTTCCAGACGTGATGCAGTGGTTAACTGGCCAGGCGCACCGGCATTTGCTACTCTCAGAGAGAGAAACTTTTAAGATACATGTCAATTTTGACCACACATGCATGGAGCGAATGCCACAGCACACCACCTGCTACCCAGTTGTTAGTGCGTGCACACAAACAATAACATTTCCAAGTGTGCATTTCGTCAATAAGAATGACTTTAACGAAAAAATGGAAACGGCAGTCAAGAGCGGTGCAGGCTTCCACTTGATCTAACATAAGATTCCATTACTACTGTTGTTACTCTACTTATGTAGGTCTGTTTTCTCATCCGTTAATGTAAACCCATCCACCGAAACATTTTATTTTAGATTAACTGTGAAAAGAATACCTTCGTTATGTTTACAATGTTGCAGTTTCAAAGTTGAAATAAGAAATAAAGGTTTACATTTTTCAATGGTATTTTCACATTTAATGCGCAGTCATTATGTTTGAACAGCTCAGTTAATTAAAAACACAAAATACAAGCCAACAACAATTAATCCAATATTCTAACAGCATTTTAGTGGAATCAAACATTATGAAGGACTTATTATCTATTTACTGAACGCAGAATTTGCACCAGTTGAAGTGTCTGGACATAAAGCTCTTGGTCACTCAGAGGAGATGTGGTTGGATTTACTAATCCCTGAAGGACAGCAAGGTTCTCTTCTGAGAGAGGAGAAGGGATCTCTGACACCACAACCCCTCCATCCTCTAGGTCAGCATAAAAGCTGTAATCCTGGAAAAGATGCTCCACTGCCTGAAAGACAGAAGTTGGCTTTGATAAACATCCAAGCCTTATATTGACAACCCAAAACTGCAGGTTTCATTTTTCCTACTCCCCTTTTTATCCAGAATTATTTTAAGCCAACAGTGGCTTATCTGTGTTTTTTTGATGGACTAAATGTTATTAGAATTATGCTAACGATGAAAACAACAGTGCTTCATAAAGAAAGTGAAGTGCACCTCTACATTTGGCTCCTCAACAGGCGTTTGGAGCATCCCAATGTGCCACAGCTGCTCTGGAGAAAGGTTGCCTTCAGTTTTGATAGGGTGGAAGTTCCAGCTGTGCAGGAAGCACTTTAAGTCGGATTTCAGCCGTGGCAGAAACACATAATGGACACAAAAAAGGTGTATCTCGTCTGATAGATCAATCAGTTGCCCTTCTTCCATTGTGTGCAGTACATTGTAGTATTTGCAGGTGACAGCTGACCACACATCACGCCACAGCCTCTCGATCCTGGAAATATGAATAAACAAAGATTTGAGGAAATAAATCGAATAAAAAACAAATACATATTCTCCCTACAGTGGTTTAAGTAGTGTTATTTCACTTTCTGCTCACTCAATTCATTGTCCTTTACCTTTGATTGTGGACACTTTTGCCAGCAATGAAGCTGCCACGCCCAAAGCCTCGAACAGAAAACATGCATCGGGCAATGTCCACATTTTCCACCCCCTGATCGCCTCGAACTCTGAAAGTATTTGTTTTTTTATGTATTGTGTTATCATTTGACTACATATGACGAAAGTCGATATGTGGAACAGTCTACAGTACACTGAAAGAATATATAACATTTAACAGTAATATGACAATATGCATTGTACCTCGAGGGCCATCCATGTTTTCCAACACCATCCAAGAAGAAAGAAAAAGCAGTTGAGGCTTTGTTGTCTGCGGCAGCATTGAGGTACATGATCTGTAAAAAGGATGGTAGAGGCAGAATAGTTTATTTTAATTCAATAGCTGTTTAAATTATAATTCAACAGAACTCATACTTTTCTTGAGAAGCCGTCAATCCCACCAAATATCACAATGTTATATCTGCAAACACAGGACAAATAAAAATTAAATCTGTCTTGTTGTTAGGTTTGAAAATGCTGAATCACTTGGATCAAGAATCTATTGTTTTTTTTCTACGTTAAGAGAGAAAAGTCCTGAAGAAAATAGACAATGAAACACTCACCTGATTAATTTGTGGTTGGTATCAATGTGAACCAAGGACAATGGCGCAGGAACACAGTAACTTCTACGAGCTACAAATCCAAGTTGTATCATTCTAGCCAAAATTCCAGCTCCATCTACCCGGTGCATCACAGCCTGAACCCTATGCCACTGCACCCGGTGTCCTCTGGCTAACAGCTCACCTTTCATCAGCCTAAACCCAGCATGGGGCATTCTACTTTTTATGGACCTCACAAGAACATCAAGTTCATCGTCAGATATTTTGGAATAGCACCCACGAACAGACAGGCCATGCTCTTTCATCCGCCTGTTAAGTGTTCTTCTTGAAACACCATACAATTGGGCCAAATGTTCTAAAGGAAGTGCAGTGGAAAGTAGATGTTTAAGATCATCAGACTGTATTTCAAGACGAGGGCGTCCCAGATTTCCCACAGCAACAGAAACAATGTCCAATGCATTAGTTGAGTCTCCTCCCAATGATTGAACAGGCAAGCTGAGAATGTTGATCAAGTCCCAGAGACCGTTCAAAAGTTCTGTTGGGATATTGAGATGATGAGATGCCATTGACGCCAAAGAATACTCTTGCTGAGTAACATCCAAAAGGTAATCCAAATCGAGAGATTCGTTTCTGAGAACCAAGCTAAATCTTGTCCGAATCCTCTGGAGGAGTTCCTCTCGCACTTGCTCCTGCAGGCACAAACATGGCAAAGTAAACAAAATAAACACTAATACACTGCTTAATGATCCTGGGAAAACAATTCCCAATATGTTTCAGATGTTTCCATATTCAACACACAACACAAATTAATGGTCAACTATCAAGTTTCAGCAAAGTCAATAAATGAGCTGGCGTGCGATTTTGCTAAACAAATAAGCTAAAAAGTTGTAAATGTAGTTTAAGTGTCTTCCCATAATATCTTATGTTGATTTTGTCTGAGTTATTCCATTAAAAATCTGCAGTTTGACACAAAATTATGCAACTTGAAAATCCATTCACCACCACCCCTGCCACAGTTCAGAAAGTTTGATTTAGATTCTGATAAAAAAATAAAAATTAACTCTTACCTGTGATTGCATGTCAGCAGAGTCCTGCTAACACATATAACACCCTCTGTTGGCAGAGTTAAAACACAGGTTAGCTCCAGTAGCTACAAACTCTCTGACTTTGCACAGATTCCTATGGCTAATCAACAAGATTATTAATGTAGGCTGCACACGCAGGGGTGGGGGTGGGTGATATGCGCTGGTTTAGTTATGATACCATTCCTCGCTTAGACTGGCAGGTGACCAACCAAAGCCCTGCTAAAGCATTCGGGTACTGGCTAGCACTTTGGCTAGGTAGCTAGCGATCTAACGTCTGGTTAATGCCTGACTTGGCTTTACTTAAGGGTTTTAACTCAGGGTTTCCAAGAAAATATCAAATAAACGATCAATACTCACTTTGATCCACAGTACACAGGGGAAATATGAAAGTGGGTGGCGCTAAGACCCGTGAGGAACAAGTAAAATCGCGGGACAGCGTCACTTCTGGTTCCGGGTCACAAACTGTCATTCAGGATCACACTGTCCAATGGGAGAGCACTTCTCTTATGTCCCACCCACCCGAGAGGGTTGGGCCAGAATTGCAATCAAAACCTCACGCAGCGCAAAGGAGAAAGCCGAGAAGTGAAACTGCAAATCTGGTAGCGAGAGCAAAAATCTGAGCAGTGAGAATGAAACAAAGGAAAATGAAAAGAAAAATACGTGGAGTCAAACATAATAAATACAAATACTTTTATTACTCATTTTAATAAGTTGATTCGTATAGTAAGTTTCACTTTTGAAACGATTTTTTTTTTTTGCAATTAATTTTTTTTCACGCACATTCTTAATTTTTGTTTGACCTTCTAAGAGTTTTTCTTGAAATTATTGGCCCAAATCTAGTCCCATAGCGTTACTGCAGCAGCACGTCTTGCTCGCGTAAGCTGCTGCTTGGCCCTTCCCACGAGACGCGAAGCAGCAGGGGAGCAGCTGTCACCGACCGAGCACGAAGTCACACGAGTGACTTCGTCAGTAAACACAACAACAAGCAGGAGAAAATTACAACATGGTTTGTGTTTTATGTTCTGTCCGTTTTATAATCGCCAATACGGACCTGAAAAACAAAGGAGACCGCTAGCTAGGTAACTTCTCACGGGGACGCACAGTTAGTAACCTTTTTTTTTTTAAAAAGTAAAGCAGCCGGAAGGCAGTATGTTCTTTATTCTGAAAATCTCGGGAGCTTCGCTCCGTTTCCGCGTCCGATTTCCTGTCTTTCCTTCCCCAAAAATGTCGAACTTGACCCGTTTCAGAGGCGTCGCGCGTAGAAAATAGAACCGGCGCGTAAAGGCCGCGACATGCTGCTCCTGAGACGCGGCCGACTCGCGCTGCTGACGACTCCAGTGGAAAAGGTCCTGTTGACCACAGCGGTTCCTATCAGCAGCTATGACGTGCTGCTGCAGTAACGTGCTGCTGACGGCTCCTGTGGAAAGCCGGGGTAAGACTGCTGGAGGATACACTGACCACTTTCCACACTCGACTACTTTCTTCTACTATCTGCTCTTTAACTGTATTATTTTCTGCAATTTCAGCTGTTAACTTTATTTTCTCTCTAAGTGTTTTTCTCCCCAGAAGAAGCTACAATGATGTTCTGCTGAGCTGTGGTGGCCTCATGGAGGGGGCCATCAGCTAGCACACTGCTGATAACCACTAAAACATTCTCCCTCTCCTGATAATAACTGTTTGCTTTCCTTGACGTTGGATGTGCTACTACTAGTTTATCCGTTTAATTATAGATTCACTAGGATAAATACAATAAAGCTTATCTCTCACCAAATAGAATATTTACTAATGTAACCATAGACACATTGCTTGGTGTGTGTGTGTGTGTGTGTGTGTGTGTGTGTGTGTGTGTGTGTGTGTGTGTGCGTGCATGCGTGTGTGTGGGTGTGTGTGTGTGTGTGTGTGCTCTGTCTTCTCGATCCCCAGTGAGTCGTGGAAGATGGCTGCTTATACTGAGCCAGGATTCTCTGGAGGTTTCTTCCTGTTAAAAGGGAGTTTTCCTCTCCACTGTCGCTGCATGCTTGCTTAGTATGAGGATTGCTGTATAGTCACTGACACTAGTCAGTGACTTGATGCAATTTGCTGGGTTCCTTATATAGGAAACATTATTTCTGATTGGCTCAACGAACTGACCTGTATTGGAATGTTTACTGTGTGAAGTGCCTTGAGACGACTTGTTGTGATTTGGCGCTATATAAATAAGCTTGAATTGAATTGAATTGATTGGCTAAGAGGTGGAGTGCTATTTGGCTTTTGTGCCTGCCGCCTCACTTCCAGCAGCAGTGTCACACACACCCAGAGCCGATCACCGTCTGGTACCTCCAGACTCAGCTCCTTTCCTTATTTTGACCTGATGTAGAAGAAGGCATCAGTGCCGTGATGTTTCTTCATGCTTTTATACGGTTTAGACGGTTTTACATGGTAGGTACTGTATGTATAAGCGTGTGTACGAACTTTAGTGATGTCATTACCTACAGGAAGAATACTTTCCATACTTCGCTGTAGTAAATATGACTAATTAGGATTTATTTCTTTGCCGTGTCCGGTCCAGCTGTAAACCAATCAGAATGGATGCCTGAGTGCCGAAGACGAGCCTTACGGTTTTACTCTAGGGCTGAACGATCTATCATTTTTAGACTGAAATTGCTATTTCAAACAATGAGTTCATGTGACCATCAAAGCTGTAGCGCTCCTGACTGACCCAGGATCTGTTCTCAACCATGTAGCGTCCAGGAACGGTCCGTTTTCATCTACAGTTTGACCTTTTCAGTGACCGGTCATCTACAGACATGCATCTGCCTCTCTTAATCTTCCAAGCTGCAGGAAAGATTCACCACTGCGTGTTTACACTCTGATTGTCAGCATCATGTTCCTCCCTCAAGGTTCCTCTCTGCCGACCTGCGGCCTTATCTATCCGCTTGCTTCACAGGACAAAAGAACTTTTACAACTCATAAGTTAAATAATCATTAAATAAACACGTGGTTGAATGAACAAATGTTATATGAATAATAATATTAACGTTTGATTAACCTGTGCCTAATTCAATGAAGTTGAAATGAATTTTAATATTACAGCGAAACATTTTGATGTTATGATCAGTAAAGTTAGATTTAACAAGTGAATCATTATCTACACTCTCATACACGAGGTTCATAAGATATAAATACACTTAACGTCATGCACATGGATATGTTCTTACCCACAAATCAGAGAACCTTCTATCTGAAAGAGGCGTGACGTTCTGAGGGTTGTTTGTTAACACCTCTTAACTCATTCACTGCCAGCCGTTTCCTGATCACTAAAGCCCTTCGCTGCCAGCATTTCTCACCGTTTTTACTGTTTTTTTAAGAGTCACAGAATGTTGCGCGCTAGCATGATGTCGACGCCAAAACAACCAAAACAAAGAGGAGACTCGCCTCTTAAATCAGGAAGAGTCCGCGTGTTTCGAGCGTTATCCGTTCTTTCGTAATCCATTGTTGAATTGTGATCGGCAGACGCTTTTCCGGTTCGCACCTCACTTTTTTACAGGAACGGCCCAAAACGATCTCCTAACACATGGTTGGTCTGCTTCCTGATCATGTGACGTGTGACGTATGCGGATGAAGATCGGCTTCAGGGCTGAGATGTTTGTTCTCTCAGCGCGAGGCTCGTTCTGGTGCTCAAACAGTAAAAAAATGCAAATGACGACTTTAGTCGTCAATGGCAGTGAATGAGTTAACGTGGCACGTCCCGATTGGCCAGGCAATCATAATATGGCGATCATTAAAACAGAGCTCACTTCGCCGTGGGTCAGTTCTAGAGAAAGCTACGGACCGGCCATCCGGAGCAAAAACCTCTTAAACCCAGAGCATTTTTTGACAAGCTGTCAAAAACCTGAAGCTGACACAGCAAACGGTTCCTGCAGAACAAAGCTGACACAGTTCCGACTCCTTAAGCGTCCTTCTAGACACAAACTAGTTCCAACCGGCTGCGTCTGGCGACATCTCTGGACTGGAGCGTCGGTGCTGCGGTTAATCTACTGAACCTCGGTGCCTAGAGGTCATCCGACCTTCCTGACCTCCGGATCCACGAACAGGGTCTCCAAAAGGGTGAGGTAGAACACAGCATGAACTGCATCTGATGCCGTTTTGATAAGAACCGACTTCATAGTTGAATGCAAACCAAATTCCTTTTCACACCCAGAACTCATTTTCTTCTAGATACAAGGTTCTGATAAACACACACCATTAAATCACCACACATCACACTCCATCCACTTAGATTCGTCCATCACAGCAGCCTTAGTTAACTTGTCTTGTTTTTAATTTGTTTAGAAATTAATTTCTTACCTTTTATAAACCTGACTGTCTGAATTGATACAAAGTGTTTGATCACTGAAAATGCAAAGAATCCTAGAATCTTCCGATTAAACATTCAAAGACTAATGAGGTTGATATCCTATATTTATATAGAATATCACAGCTTATTGGTCATAAGGTAATATACGAAGCTTTAGAAGCACCCAAATAAATACGTATGCTACACCTACAACTATTTTAGACATCCGTGGGTTTTCCGTGAGTTACAGCAGCAGCAGAGAGCTCTGGGAGGGGGGGAGTCCTCACTGTTACTACAGCTGATATTAAATGTGACCCTCTGTCGCTGCTGGGTGAGTGAGGCTGAATCTCCAGCTGCAGAACCGGTTTGTCATATTTAACATTAAGTGGACGTGGAAGTACAACTTCTCTTCTTTTAAAAACGCTGTTTGTGAAAATATGTCGGACATTACCGAGGAAAAGCACACGTCCTGAAGCTGAAGTTGGTTCTCTGTTTTGGTTTCAGAGTCAGAAAGGGACACGCCAACATAAAAGTCCACTCCCTGAGCATCTTTAAATGGTAAAATGGTAAATGGCCTGTATTTGATATAGCGCCTTCTAGAGTCCTGGAACCCCCCAAGGCGCTTTACAACACAACCAGTCATTCACCCATTCACACACACATTCACACACTGGTGGTGATGAGCTACGATGTAGCCACAGCTGCCCTGGGGCACACTGACAGAGGCGAGGCTGCCGAGCACTGGCGCCACCGGTCCCTCCGACCACCACCAGCAGGCAAGGTGGGTTAAGTGTCTTGCCCAAGGACACAACAGCAGAATTCACTGTCCGGAGCCAGGATCGAACCTGCAACCTTCCGATTACTGGACGACCCGCTCATCCTGTTGAGCTACTGATGCCCTGCTGCTGCCCAGCTGCTGCTGGTTGTAATACGTACCCTACCAACATTTCATCTTGTTTCTCTGAAGCACAGAACCAGCTACAGTGGCAAAGGAGTGTCACTGTGTTTGTAGTTCCAAGGAACTGTGTAGGTAGTTTGTTTTTATGTTCAAACGGACCTCACCCCATGAGCACATGGCATTGTTGAGATCAAGGTTAAAACGTGAGGAGGACTTCTTCAGAAAGCAGTTGCTCACCCATACCTGCTAGGTTAGGGTTAGCCTAACCTGTAACCCGGAACTAGGTTCCGGTACCTAGGAATCGATACCGGGACTTAACGGTACCAATTTTCGATACTTTTGAGTGTTTAATATTTTAATTCTCTTTTTAAATTAAATATATATTTTTCTCAATTTATAACCATATTTGATAAATATCACGATAAATAACATACAACTGTTTGTATTTTAACATCGTCCTTGTAGTTTTATAAGCTGATAATTAAACTGAAGCAAACATCTTTACTGTGAACTAAATTTACTGTGTATCTTCATTCCTTTTGCCGTCTTTTTTCTTTTGATTTTTCCTACTGGGAAGTTAGAATTTCCGAGGAGAAAGCGAACGCACCATTAGCTGATAACAATGGTGGCAATGGAAGCTAACATATCAAGCTAACTTTATCTTATAGTTTTTTTTCGATTGCTAAAACTCAGAAAGCAAAAATGAGGCACAATTTTCACAACCTCTACTTCTGTTCAATCGCTTGACTCAATTTATCACTACTTAAGATTTCCTTATCATATCAGAACTCTGATTTTCCTCCTTTACACTCTGATGTCAATTTCACATTACCTTGCTGTCAAAACACAACACACAATTGTCAGGTTTACACACACTTCTCACATAAATTCTCAAAGCTTCAATCAACAACACACAAATATTCAAATCTCTAAACTTTCGGGTCTGGCGAGCAGTTTGCAATCAGGGACTGCAGCATAAAAGTAAGTTTCCACAAGGCTACCCAGGTGTATGAGTGGTTTCAGGACCTCCCACGGTTTTCCATTTTATACCTTCCACCTTATTCCCCCTTCCTCAATCCCACTGAGGAGTTTTTATCAGCCTGGAGGTGGAAGGTGTACGAAAGGAATCCACAGAGCCAGGTCCCACCGCTTCAAGCCATGGAGGAGGCTTGTAGAGATGTGGCCTTTGAGGCCTGTCAGGGCTTCATGAGGCACTCGAGGCGGTACTTCCAGAGCTGTTTGGAGTAGGAGGATGTTGATGAGGCCCTCTGGCCAGACAGAGACCGGCGGCATGATGCCCCATGCATGCTTGTTTTGTCTCAAAATTTGTGAAGGGAGGGAGGGGGGGGGGGGGGGGGGGGGGGGGTAACTGTAAAAATAAAATGTTTTGTCTCAAAATTTGTGGGATGTCTAATGTTTGTCTCGGAGAATAGTGGGCACTGTCATACATTCAGTGTGTAATTCATTGTCTTCCCTTTCGACAATTGTGTTTTCAGTTTTGCTCTTCAGTGTTCTTTCCATGCTTGGTAGTGTTCACCCAAAGGCTACTTGTGTTTAAGCAATGGATGGTATGTGTGTGTCATGTGAAAATGTGGCTGTGTTTACCAAATGAAAACACGTGTTCCATTTTGGGAGCATGTTACGATATGTGGTGGCAAGGTTTTGTTGCAAAGGGAACAGTTTAGGAATTTGTGTGTTATGTTTGGGGTTTTGTGTGTGTGTGCAGTTTTGAAAGAAACGTACAGTTTTGAAAAACAAGTTTTAGCAATCGAAAAAAACTGTAAACAGTTTATTTAGCTGCTGGAGCAGATTAAAACGATGACGCCTCACACTTAGATTGTTGTCGCTGGTTTCATCTTCACCTAGTTACCCATCACATTTAGTAAAGTGAAGCCAAACTTTGGAGCGCGTTCATTTCTTCTATTCGAAAAATTGGAGTTCCGAGGAGAAAGCGAACGCACCATTAGCGGAACGGAAGCTAACATATCAAGCTAACGTTATCTTAAACATTTTATTTACCTACCGGAGCAGATCAAGATGAGGATGTCTCACTTAGATCGTTGTCGCTGGTTTCATCATCACCCAGTTACCCATCACATTTAGTGAAGTGGACCCAAGCTTTAGCGTGCGTTCTTTCTACCATGCTGCTCTGTTTACAACTCGCTCGCAGCGACCGACGACATAACGCTCTTGCGCATGCGCAGCTGTCTAGGCAAGTTCTCGTTATGAAGGACAGGTACCGAAACGAGGCACCGTTTCAAATGACGTGAATCGGTGCTTAGTCGGTACTATGGAATTCGGTCGGTACCTTAAAAAGTACCGAATTCGGTACCCATCGCTAGTGAGAAGACCCATCCAATATGGCCTCGAAGCTGTAACGCTCTCCAGCGCCCCATGAGGCGTCAGGGGGAGGAGGCAACACACTACTGAGCCTCATTCGGACTTTTTTAAAAGATGTTACATCAAAGTTGGATAAGTGTGCTACTTTTTGTTGTTCTTGCACAGAAAATCTCACTAAAGCGTTTAGCTTTGTGGTTGTAAAGGCATCAAAAGATGTGACTACGTGGGTCTCTTGCCATGATTGTATAGTGGTAGTTGGCTGTTTGATGGCAGTCTGAACTTTGATAATCACTAAAGTTTTGCCACTTTGTAATAAATGTCAACATTCAGAGGTGGCTTTTTATAATAACACTTGATTCTAAATAATTGTTTTAGGCTAAATGTGGTCAAATGGAATATAATAAAAATATGCATCTCAAAAGTAACTTTTGAAAAAAATCATTGACGCTCCAACCTCCATCCTGGTGGCTTCACCACCTTTCACGATGGGGACGGTCTTCCCGGAGTGGATCCGGTACTGTCCGATAGAGTGGCCGTTCAGATTCCTGACCGGCTTCACTGCAACAACAAAAACAGAAGACGTAGCGGCTGAGCTTGAAAATAAGACAAAAAGGGACTTTTCATGTATTTTTTACTTGTTTTACCTTGATATGTTTTCCCATCTAACTCTACTTCGTAGGACTCCATCACCTCCTGAATGATTTCGCCAACGTCACACAGCCTCACGTCAATCCCAGCAGACTAGGACAGGAACACACTGTTTGAGCTTCTGCTTTCCTGAAACACTAAGTGGCTTCGAACATATCCCTTCTTCTGTTGCTTTTTGACTTATGCAAAGAGTTCGTCCTGGACATTTCTCCTTTACATCTCCAGGACTTGGGATTTTAGTGTTGCAGCACAATGAAAGACAACCAGAAATAGTACTTTATAAATAAAAATATCAATTTAGAGTTAAAAATACAATCGTTTTTATCAGCTTTCCCATTTTTTTCTTTACTTCAGGCTTAAATGTTGCTCTGTCTGCCCCCCCCCCCCCCTCCCCCAGCAAACGACGTCACCTGCTTACAGTGCATTTCTGTGTTACATTTGCTCATGTTTCATCACTGACGTTTACACTGAATCAGCCGTTTGAAGAAACATTGTGCCACATTTTCAAGAACACCGTAACCCTGGTGGTGTCATGTTAGTTTTTCTTCATCATGAAACGTTTCTAACTGGAGGGAAAAGTCTAATGTGAGATGAAGGAAAGCAGCGTTACCCTGATGCCCGTGTTGGTCGCATCTCTCACGGCCTCCAGCAGTCTGTCGTACTTGGGGTTGAAAGTGATGGTGAATGCACAGTCGATGATTCGACCTGAATGAACGAGTCGTTTGAAAATGTATCGACACTTGCTGCTGCTTTCCACAAATATTCAGAAAAAACTAATCAAATCTGACGTTTAAAGGGGCATTATGGAAGTTTGACAGCCAAAACATGTATAGAAATAATAAATCTCTTCTTCATACATTCTCCTGCAATGCCCTGGTCCTGTAGAATGAGCCCTGGCATTTTTACTGTGATTGTCTGTTTTTCTGTAAAATCACAGAAAAAGAGAGCTGCTCGGGTCGAGCAGGCTGCTTCATGCGCGTTCACGCTCAGGCATCGCCCGTAGCATTTGCTATCAGTAGCTTTAGCAGCAGAGAGAGAGGCAGTGCCACTTTGTCGCTGTTCCTAACGCCTCGTGACAAAGCTAGCTACATTTCTGAGGACCCTTAGCTACTTTCTGTAGAACTTTCTTCTAGATATTTCCTGCAAATCAGCAACAAAATAGCCATTTTCACTTCGAACCGTTCTTTGATTTGAACTTGTTTCAGGTATTATCAAGGATATAAAATTTACAGATACTGAGAATGTTACTAGAGTGTAGCTCACCTTGTAAGACGTCTGACTCTCATGCAGAAGACCTGGTTTCGATTCTGGATGTGAACATAGTTTATTCAGAGTTTCTTTTTTACATTAATGGTATATTATTTTACAGTAAGATGCCCAAATTTTTATTTGAGACTCGCCGAACGGCATTGAATTCACAGATGAAAAGATGTGGGTTCAACTTTCATTTTGGAACAATTTTTCAAGCAAGGGAAGGGAATGATCTGAGCATGCAGGAGGACTGACCCATCATAAACCTGTCGGCTGTGCTGAAGAGAAAGGTACAGAACCACATTATTTAATTAATTAGCTGCGTGTTCTCCTGTCCTCCATGCCACACACACACACACACACGGGACTGTCTCAGCTGTTATTTTCGTTAAGGAGTGTGCACGTACAGCATGCACGAGCCTACTATTGAAGCTGCCGTTACGCTTTTGGCCTGAGGGGGCAATCACGAGCATAAAAATTCAAAAGTCCGTAAAGTCCCTTTAAACACTGTAGCAGATCGGTTTATTCTAAAAGCACAAGCTCTCACCATTGATGTGCGTTCCAAAGTCTATTTTGCAGACATCGTCGTAGCGCAGCACGGTCGGGTCTCCTGCGTTTGGGGTGTAGTGTGCAGCACAGTGGTTGATAGAGCAGCCTGTGGGGAAGGCCAGCCCCGCATTCAGCCCGTCTTCTTTGATCAGCGTCCTGGAGCAGTCCTCCAGCTTCTCACTGACAGAAACAGAAACGGGAGGAGAACACCAACTTATGGGCCACATTTCATTATTTTGGTCTCCAGGAGGCGTAGATTGAAGATAACAGATGCAGCCAGGGTGAAGCTACCCTGAGTCTGGGTGTTCCTCACCAGATGTCAATCATGGTCATCCCGGGTTTGATCCAGCTCATGACGTAGGAGCGGACCTGCCTGTGGGCCTCGGCCGCCTGCCTGAAGTCACTCCACATCTCCTCGTTGGCCATGTCCAGCGCTCGTTTCTCCGGGCTGGTAGTCCTCCATGCTGCGCTGCGCCTGGGGACATTACCGCCACACCTCAGAGGAAAAGGACTCACTCTACTATCTCTTTAGCATTTTTAATGACTAAAGCCTGGTTCACACAGGAGAATAATCATGCCACTTTTTTAAAACATTAAGCCCCGCCCCCCAGTAGCTCTAAAACCTCTCATAAGATAATCCTACCTTTTGTGGTGAGTTAAGACCGCTCCTATCATAGATTTGGCCTTTCAAACACGCTGGATTGTCTTGGTCTGATATCCTGACACCAACAAGTGTGCTGCCTGTGTAATGTAACATTTATCCAATCAGAAAGCAAGATGAAGGACGCATGCTGCACACTCGTCCTCCATGTTTTTTTTACTCCAAAGTCGCTTTGATCTTGTGAGATTTTCCCATCTGAGCGGGAGGTTTTGTCCGAGTTGCTGCCCACCACACGCTGTAGGACCAAGACTTATATTTGTGATTTAACTTTTTTTATTTTAAAACAATGTGTGTGGTCTCAGGCTTTGAAAACTCAACAACTATTCCTGTCATGTTAGCTTTAAAGCTGTTATGGCGAGTCTGCAGAACAAGCTAGGCTTTGAACGCCAACACGATCACGGGACTCTCCCACCTCCCCTCGGGTGTCTTCCCTGAGACGCTTCCGCTGCCCACATTACCAGAGGAAACGAGATAGCGCTAAACACCAGTCGCCGTTTTCTGTGTCCAAATGGCTTTTGTCGTCCGTGACTTCAAACGGTGTTTTACTTTTTGGGAAGTTTGTCCTGAAGTTAATGTTGTAGCAGCCGGCGGTTCCTCCTCCTCTGATATTCTTGAGCGGAGAACCTCTCACATCAGTGGCGTTCTGTTGCTAAATACGCGAGTGTGTGATGAGTGGAGGACCCAGAGTGTACGTCGGTTCGGCGAGGCCGACGCCCGCACGGTCCAATGGTTGTTTTTCGTGTTTTTGGAGGCGGCTTTTAGACAGATAGGAGAACCACTTCCTTAACTGTTTTTTTTATCTCCACAAAACGTTTATGTTTTTACTCTTAGAACGTTGTTAAAAGGTATTAAAATGTTTGAAGCTAATTAGGTTCTCTTAATTTGCTATTGCGGCTTTAAAGAGCAAGTCACCCCCTACAAGAAGCGTACTTCACTCCCACTTCATGTTTGAAAAATGCAACAAATGCTGTTGCCTAGCAGACCGAGAGGGTGGAGCCACTAACAAATACACACACTCACGACATTGTGACATCATAATGTACCTGTTTACATCATAGCATACCTCTTAGCCAATAGCGGTGGCAGATTTAAATTCAAATGCAGTGAAGAGTTTTTACCTGACAACGGCACAACACTGACAGTTTCAGGCAGACATTTTTAATTTTAACTAAAATGCACTAAAGTGCAAAACTATTGACTACACGTGTCTGCAGCACGCTTAGACACGCATTTATATAGTTTATCAGAAAAAAATAGTTGACTTGGGGGTGACTTGCTCTTTAAGGATGAAGGTTTGACACACTCCCTTAATTCTAACCTGACTGAATCAACGCAAGTCTTTACAGAAACCCTCACCACCTAACGCTGACTCTAATGTGTAAGATAAAGGGACTTAAATACAAATTCAGCACAGGAGAAGAAGTTCTGGTGAAGTTCTGGTGAAGGTTCGAGGTCACGCACCCATCTTTTGATGGGGGATATTCACACTCCTCTCCCTTTGGAAAGTCTCCGCTGGGATAGAGCTCACAAATAGACACCGAGGGAGGGTCAGTCTGCCCCTTCACTGTGGCCCAGATAGAGAAAAGGCAAAAGCAGAGAAAAGTGTTATCCTGGTTCTGCTTGAAATGAAACGAATGCAGAACTGTTTCAGAAGCAAATCATATGAAATAAGAGGGTTTAAAACACGTTTTTTTGCTTGTAGCTTACATGTTTTCTTCTTCTTCCTCCTCCTCTTCTTTCTACCAGCTGGGCGTTCGCCCTCGTCTCCTTCTGTTGTGAGCATCGTCAGTTTCAAAGCAGTTAGTGAAATGAAACATATTGATGGAGATCTGGGAACATTTCCCAGGGCTCCACTCAAAAATCAAACATCACACTGCAGACGTGAGTGACTGAATATTCCGGGCCAGCATCACTGCTGCAGATGAAGAGGAAGGCGTGATAAGAAGATACCTTCTTCTGCGTCCTGCACCCTCTCTCTCTCCTCCAGGGTTTGCTCCTCCAGCTGTTTTGTCACATCACCAACACTTGTGGTTTCTATTTCATCCCCCTCAGCTTCGTTCGTCCCTGCTGCAAAGTCACACACTGCTGCTGTGCATGCATGTGCAGGTGGACGTGCACAGACAAACACACACACACACACATTACAGGAGACAGTTTGAAGGAGGTAAATGCACCAACCCCTGAACCTGAACTTGGCCTGCACACTTTCTTCCCCTTAGAGCTCACTTCTTCAAGGACACATCCCTTGCAGCGTGATGCACTCAGCCCGCGCTGCGTGAGCTAAAATTCAGTGTTTTGTGATTTCTGCATCAAGCAAAGTTACCGACATGTTCCTTTTTAGCACGTGATTATCCCGCTGCACAAGTTCAGTCTTGCTGTTTAATTTACAGTTCATGAAGTCAACAGCAACTCGTCAGCGGTTCTAGTTAAAATTTGCCACAAAGTGCAGTTTATATAGAAAGTTGCACCGGACTGGAAAGTAGCTCGGCTCGTGTCGCGCTGGAGCGGATTTTGCAGCATTTTCTCGGGACGCAGAGCGAGGCTCCTCACCTGATGCAGCGGTCTTACTCCTTCTCTTCGTTCTTCTCCTTTTCTTTAACGATTCCAGGATATCTCTGACCTCCCTGTCTTCGTCCAGGTCTCCGTTAGGAAGTTGAGGCTCCGCTTCGCGCTGCTGAGGCTGCGGCTCCTCCATGGTCGCCGGCTCCACTCCAAGTGACGCATAGAAGGCTGGGAGCCTCCAGCGGTCAGCGTGGAAATAACCGTTCATGTGGAAACTTCTCGATCCGATCCATGGAGCAAAAACTTTCATTTATCACCAGTATTTGATTTTTTTAATCATAGTTTGAGTCTAACGGCGCACAGTCCTAACACATCCTCTGGAAAATGCTTATCCTGCAACAGTTTGGGTTTTACTTTGACTGTCTCGACGCGAGTCGAGTCTTGTGACTTGGTGCTATTAAAATAAACAGAATGCAATTTTCTAAAAGTTGCACTGAACGAAAAACGCATTGCTCCCCCTGAACCTCCATGCACGCCAGGGTTTTCAGGTTATCTGCCAGAGCAGGGCCGTGCAGAGACCTTTGACGGGGCGGGTGCTCAAAGTAAAAGAAAAGGGGCACTTATAGAGCAATCCAATAAGTTAGAAAATTCAGATAATGAGACCCTTGGGTTCAAACAACATAATAAAAATATATAAATTAGTGTCATAGTTCATAAATAATAGTTTTAGTTTTTAAAGCTGACTTATATCTAGAGATGTTACAACCACATTTTTGCCCCTGATCTGAGTCCAAGTTGTTTGATTTTTGATTATCTTCCAATACTGAGTCCTGTTCTGATACCAGGTGGTGATGCAACACATTATAAAAGAAGAAATAAGTCGTCCTTCTGTCTGTATTTGTCATTTTGTTATTTTAGCCTGATAAGGTCACTAATTCAGGAAGTACATTTAACAGGAATCAAGATAATTTATTGCTATTGCACAGGTGTACAACCAAAGATCTTTTGCACCTACTAAAGGCAGCTCTAGTAAGAGGTAGTAAGAGGCATGGTGTGGAAACAATCACCTGACCTTGAACATGAACAAAACAATGGAGATGATTTTAGACTTCAGAAGAAACGGTGGAGTCAAACACTGTTTCCATCATGGGAGAAGAAGTGGAGGTGGTTGAGGAATACAAATACCTTGGAGTTCACCTGGACGACAGACTGGACTGGAGAAAGAATAGCGAAGCCGTTTACAAGAAGGGACACAGCAGACTGCACTTCTTGAGGACACTTAGGTCTTTCAATATCTGTAGCAAGATGCTGCAGATCTTCTACAAGTCTGTTGTTGAGAGTGTAATCTGTTCAGCCATCGTCTGTTGGGCTAGTCAGAAGCAGGGACCTGAAAAGGCTCAACAGCCTAATAAAAAAGGCTGGTTCTGTTCTGGGGACGACTGTGGAACCACTGGAGGAGATAATGCAAAGAAGGATTCTCCAGAGAATCAAGAAAATGATGGACAACCCTGAGCATTCTCTTCACAAGACTGTCCGACAACGGAAGAGTGTCTTCAGTCAGAGGCTTCATCAGTTTTGCTGCAACACTGACCGCTACTGGAGATCCTTCCTGCCAACAGCCGGGATTTATAACTCTTTGATGACTTGAATATTGTTATTATTCTGAACTACTACGGCAATCAATTTCCCTCTGGGATTAACAAAGTATTTTAGAATTGAATTGAATTGAATTGAAGGTGTTTCTGTAGCCCAAGTAGAAACTGGCTCCCTTTAGTGAAGGAGCAAATCAAATCAAAAATACTTTATTAATCCCAGAGGGAAATTAGAGTTTCAGTACACACAATTCAATTCAGAGATCAGACATACATGGGCAAGACACATGACAAGAATTGGTGACTGTGGTCATTCGCAACCCTGAGTCGCACTACCTTAATAGAGATAAGAGGTTTACATGAGGATTGGTTCAGGTGGAGGGAAAAAGGCACTTCAGAGTTACCCTCCACTGGGAGGGCAGCTTTGCTCTGCAAAAAACACCTCAGACAGATATGCAACAGACTTCAGACAACACAACATAAGTGTCCACTAGGTGGGGTGGTGAGTTGGGACTATCCCTACTTCAGTTCCTGCAGCCACGATAGAAGCAGCGCATGGGGAGACGGTGGCACACGAGTTAAGTGCTCGCCCCGTGATCAGAAGGTTGCAGGTTCGAGCCCCGCTCAGTCTGTCGCTGTCGTTGTGTCCTTGGGCAAGACACTTAACCCACGTTGCCTGCTGGTGGTGGTCGGAGGGACCGGTGGCGCCAGCGCTCAGCAGCCTCGTCTTTGTCAATGCACCCCAGGGCAGCTGTGGCTACATTGTAGCTCATCCCCACCAGTGTGTGAATGTGTGTGTGGATGGGTGAATGACTGGTTGTGTTGTAAAGCGCCTTGGGGGGTTCCATGACTCTAGAAGGCGCTATTTCAAATACAGGCCATTCAAATACAGGCCATTTATGTCACCTCAGTGTGGATGGGGGAGCAGCATTGAGGGTTGGAGGGTGTCTTTTACACCCCTACAGTGGGCTCAGCTAGGAAGATGAGGAGGGGGGGAACATCAAATTGACAAGTCTAACGTAAGGTCACCCTGGGGGGGGGGGGGGGGGGGGGGGGGGAGTGTTCTTGTTTACAAAGGTTTATTAAAAGGGGCTGGAAAGACCCAAAAGGAGGGAGCAAAAAAACTCACCTAGAAATTAACCAAGGCGAGTCCAAAGGACAAAACCAAACTAAGATTAACAATTTAACTGAGAACGTCCACACTGAAAACCCTAAAATAACTCTCCTTTATTAAAAGGGGACTGGAAATAAAAATTTAAAAAGGCAAAACCCCCACCAAGTAATTAATCAAGATTTGTCTGAGAGACAAACCAAACTAAAATTACCAAAGTAACTGAAATTGTCAAAATCCTAAATAGCTCTTCTATATTAAAAGGAGACTGGAACTCCTTAAAGGGCAAAACCTCAACTGGTAATTAACCAAGGTAGGTCTAAAAGACGAACCAAACCAAAATTACCAACTAACTCAAATTGTCCCAAACACCAAAATCCTACCTACTCTCTCCCTAGAAGTAAGCACTAAAACTGCAAAAGATTTAGACGGAGCGAGGAAACCACAGGGGAAGACAGTTGCTGCTGCACCCCACAGACAATTCATCTCCCCTGATGAGCTCCAGCTGGCCGCTTTTGAAGGGCCAGCTGATGAGGTGAAAAGTCCCAGCTGGCCATGACTGCTGCTCTGGTGCTGTCCATGGTCCTGGATGAAAGTTGTTTCCCAAGGGGCAGCTGTCCAAGGTGCTGCACTGCTGCATTGGAAAACAGGGAGCGCTGCACACCACTGTCGCTCCAAAACGGCGGTGGCCATAACAGTTGCAGTGACCCTGGAACGTTTCAGCGGCCTTCCCGCAGTCCCGCCCCGGCTGGGACAGGAGACAGAGTTGAGTTGCCATAGCGACGGCACATTCCACACATCTTCTGAGCGGGGAGTTTTTGTAGTGATCTGTAGTTTGTATATTTATACACTGTAATTAGATCGAAATATTATAATCAGAAGTGATTGTTTTTATCATCAGGGAGTTTACTTAAACACTCTGTATTGACTGAGAGACAAGAAAAGAGAGAGTTGGGATCATTTAAGAATCTTTAATTTCTATAATTATAAATTCTTACAATCTACCAGGACTATCTCAATGATGGATGCATATGGATTTGGATGTTTCGTGTTGGTGTGTGTGTGTTTTGTTCAGAATCTCTAGGCTGGCGTAGCAAATCTGGTTGTTATGACTAGGCTACCATGAGGCTTCAGAAGCTGATGACATGAGCAGCCATTTTGTGCCGTGACTACGTACCCATGGAGTCTCCCGTGTTAGATCAGGAAATGCCAGGTCCTCGGACCTTCAGATGTATTGGAGCTGGTAGAACAGCGGTCACAGCACTACAAAGCCCGTCTGCGGATAGACTCCCAGTAGTAGCGGCAGGCGTCAGCGAGTTCAGCTCTTATTTTGAAGGGACGTCGTCTTGTTGTTCAAACGACGGAAATCTCCAGCTTGACAGTTCTCAGCTTAAAGTAGAAAGTACATCTGGCCAGGCTGTACCTCTCCTTTGGTGGTGATGGATTGAGAGCTGGTTGAAAACTACGTTGAGAGTATGATGTAACTCCTTTGGAGCTCAGATCGAACAGAGCTGAGGTTAAAATGGAACTGACTTTAAAATGGCGTTGCCTTGTTTTATATCCCCTAGTTGTTTACAAATCTTAGTAAACCGGATTGGACAACTTCATTAAACAACCCAGATTCTGACCTACGGCAGACGAAAGTTCTGATTGGTTGAGAACAATGTGTCATGCGTTTCCATGGTAATGTAGATCAGTCTGTCTGGTGCAGTCCTGTTTATTCATTAAACACATAACTCATGACATCTTTATTTCACAGATCATTCACCTGATTATTAATGATCAACATATGCTCTGATTAGCTTTATCACGAATAAAGTACTTTGATTAATTAATGGAAAGCATTCTTCTTCTCTTCTTCTGTCTCTTCTCCTGGAATGTAAACATACTGAACCCAGCATCCGACCTTGGCGATGTTACTGTGTGAAGGGGCAGCTGTTAAGGGCAGACAGTAGGACCTTAATAACGCTACAAAGCCTTGCAGGCTCAAGGGCACCAGATTCTGATTAGAAATGGTTTGGGGGCCGGACAGAGATAATTTCCTCTCTGTCTTACAGTTTCTTGGTCTTCAGCCTCTCAAAATCCCAATAATGGACATCAGGGGCGGCGTTAGGCCCAGCTACTTGGGCTGAAGCCCCGGATGTTTCATGGAAAGCCCCGGATCTAAATCGCGGAAGTAACATGCAGTACCAAAGTCCAACAGAGAGGGAGCAGCTGGCAGTAGTTTGTATACAGCCTGCCTGAGCCTCCACCACTGAAGAAGAAGCCCTTCAGCAGCCGGCTTCTTCTACATTCTCTGCCTGAAACGCATGAGTGAAGATGGACATAAGGACATTTTTTAGACAGAACCCCAGCTTTGATGAGACTGGTGTTGACTCAGGTTTGTGAGTCTTATTTGAAAATATTTGTTGTGCTGCTGGTTTGCCTAAAGTTAGCTTATCAGGTAAAGTTGTTGGAGAAAGAAAGGGAATATTTACTATCATCTCACACTAAACACTAACAGGAACAATATTCTGCCCTGAATATGCTTAATATGTAGCTTCAGATTAAAATTTATGTGGTACAAGACATATATGGAAACCATCTCTGAGCTCGGGGATCAGGCCAATATTCCTCGACAGCTCGTTAATTTTCCGGTAAGCCAGGAAGCCTCCAATGCTGATCAGCAGGAAACCCGACACCAACACCACGAATATCCCCACATCTTTAGAGTCCTGCACAGACAGCTGGTCTGTCCTGGACCTGATTAATAGGCCACCAAACTGGATCCCCTCAACTCATTGGCTGCGCCTAAAAATCCTGTACATAATCTGTGACAAAGGGCAGCCGTGGTGGAGTCCAAATGTCACCGGAAACAAGGTCAACTTACTGTCAGAAATGCGGTCCAAGCTCTGACACTGGTCATATATGGCAGTGGCGTAGCAAGTTTGAGCTCAGCCTCGGTGCTAGTGTTGCTTTGGCTTTCTGTTAGTCTTACTCAAACACAAAAATACAAGCTTGCTTGCAATGATTTAGGTATGTACTGCCCCCTAGCACCAGGAAAGTACACACTGCTACTTTAAAGGGATACTAGCTTTTAGCACCCCCTAGTGTGCACATGTCACTACGGCCAGCAGGCTAACTTAGCTATCAGCACCTCCACCGTTCTAGACTGGTTTAGATCAGACCTTTCTAACAGAAGTTACAGTGTCTGTATAAAACAAATCATGTCAGAGTCTACTGATCTGTTTTGTGGGGTACCCCAAGGCTCTGTTTTGGGTCCATTCTTGTTTCTACTGTACATATACCCTCTTGGACAGATACTTGATTATTTTCATAATGTCTCCTGTCACCTATATGCAGATGACATTCAGCTGTACTGCTCCTTAAACTGCCTGAATGACTAGTGTCTATCAGCTATCACCAGCTGGCTAGAAGAAAACTTCCTTCACGTTAAATTCTGAAAAGACTGAATGTCTGATCATTGCCCCTGAGACTATGGTTCCCCTGATTAGTCAAAAACTTGGTCATTTATCCTCTGCCATCAAGACAAACATAAGGAATTTGGGTGTTGTTTTTCTCCAATCAGTGTCTCTTGAAGGCCACTCAAAAACATTGGTTCCGAAACTGTTTTATCACTTAAGACATATCTCCAAACTGCGAATGTTGGTGTCAAAACATGCACTTGAAAGGGTCATCCATGCCTTTATCTCCTCCCGTCTAGATTACTGTAACACACTCTTCACGTTTTAATAAAAAAGCCCTTGGCCACCTTCAGTTGGTCCAGAACTCTGAGGCGATGCTTCTAACTGGAGCAAATAGAAGAGCTCACATCATTCCGCTTTTCCCTGGATCCACTGATTTTCCTCTTTCCTATGAATTTTCTCCCTCCCATTCCTTACATTTTTAAACACAATTTTTTTCTCATTTTAAACATATTTTAAACATTTTTTTAAATATATTTATACTTTACAATTTCTGTTTTTGTGAAGTGCCTCGTGATTTTTATCTTGAGAGTCGCTTTATAAAAGATCGTCTTCCTTCTTCTTTTCTTTCTCTGCATTGACTTTGCAGCGTGAGTAGACCCATCCAATATGGCAGATGCGCCCTCTGGTCACCAACCGCCAAAAAAGCTTTAGCAGAAGAAGAAAAAACCGGAAGTTGTTAGCAGCATTAGCTTGTTGCTCGTTAGCAGCGTTAGCTTGTTGTGTGGGTGTGTGAGGTGAACCTCTGAGGCTCTGCAGCAACAATGTCTTCATCTCAGTCTCTGAGAGAGTTTATCAGAGAGCGGCTAACTGCTGCTGCAGCAGAAATATTCTCCGAGTTTGAACAAACCATCGTCCGCTACGAGGAAGAGATCGATCGTCAGCGCAGACTGCTGGAGATCAGCTGGAAACCACAGATCAACTTACACAGAATAGGTATGAAACAACAGCGGGACTCGTGTGGTTCTACTGAGGACACAATCTCAGGATGGAGAGTTTACTTAACAGCGTCCAGATTCAAAGTCGCGCATTCTACTCACAGATCGGAGGCGTTATTTCAGCCGGCCAATCAGTCCATAATGTCACCTCGGTCCCAGTCTGACCACTGGCGAGGAGTTCTGAAAAAGAGTCGAAACGCAAATCTGACCTGTGTGTGAAACCAAATTCCCGACGGTAACGTGTAAGCGCCATTAGTGAACGTTTCCAGCTGATGTTCTACAATCAGAGACTTGTTTAGAAGTTTCTGTTAGTCTGATCTGTTTGTGGACATTACCAAGTAAAGCTGTCAGCAGCTTCAAAGTGGAGATGATTCCATGAAAACATCTCAGTCCCGTTTTCATCAGAGACTGATGCATCTGAGGAACATCTGGATGTTTATGTGTCTATAAACTCACCTGTAGTACCTGTGTGTCCATCCCAGAAGTCAGTAAGAATCTAAATCAATGAATCTGAGAGATACTGAGCCCAGTTCTGCTGTGGGTCAGTCACACACACACACACACACACACACACACACACACACACACCTGCTGTTCTCATGTCTGACTGTAGAACTGTGTGTGGTTGTTTGTCAGGTTAAGAGTTCATTATGTTCTAAAACATCTTCAGATGCATCAGATGATTAAAGTGAAGTGTGCTCTCTTATTGTCACATGATTCATCTTTTTGTTTGGTCTGTTTGTCCAGAACTCCCGCTGCATGATGTCAGCAAAGATGAGGAGGTTCTGACTGACCAGCAGCTCTGGAACCAGGAGAGGACCTCCAGTTTGGACCAGGAACAACCAGAACCTTTACAGGAGGGACCAGAACCTCCACAGATGAAAGTGGAGCAGGATGAGTCAGAACCTTTGCAGGTTCTAGAACAAGAGGAGCTCTGCATGAGTCAGGATGAAGAGCAGCTTGTACTGAAGCAGGAGACGGTTACCTCCCTTGTGACTCCTGCGGATGAGGACAGAGACCACCATGGACCAGAACCAGACAGACACCACCTCCTTTTGTCACTGTTTCCTGAGGCTGAGATCAGAGCTGCTGCTCCTCCAGGGTCCACAGGTAGAGGGGTGGGGAGGTTCTGTGTGGAATTTTCTTCTGTGACATCACAATGAGAAACTTTTTAAAACGACATGTTTTAGGGAGCATGAGGCTCCTCCCCTTTCAATTGGCTCATGGGTCCCCTGACTGAAAAAAAAAGAGAATGTAAAAGTTGGTTTATGCTTGACGCCTCCGCGAGGTCCGCACGGCTCCGCGCGGCGAAATTGCGTCATTTTAACAACCACGCCCCTCCACCGCGCCTCCGCACGGCCCACTTTCTGCACCGCGCACCTAGGAAATTTTCTAACCACGCAGACGGTCAGACACAGAAAAACATGGCGGACCGGCAAGAACTAGTATGGCAGAGGTTGGTAAATACAGACATTTGTATGATTCAGCTCTCAGAGATCACCGTGATCAACATGTTGTTAATAATTCTTGGAGAGAAATAGCTCGCACTGTCGGAAAAGACGAGGACGCTGTTAAAAATGCTGGAATGTCATGCTGTAAACGGTCATTTCTACTTCTACTGTGGTGTAGTGTTGGATGCAAACGCAAAACATCCGTCGAACGAGACGGATTTGAGTGAGATGGCGCTCGCGCGGGTGCACACTGCGAGCTGCTCTTCCTCTTTACGCACTGGTACCTTGCTTTTTACTGGTTTTTATTGGCTTTTATGCATTTTTCTTGTCGCTGATCCCTTTTTTGAATGGTGTGGATCCTCTGCTGACATATGATCGAGCTGCGCTGCTGAGGCTTCGTCCTTCCGTTGATGTAGCCGGCAGCGCGCGCTGGGAACCGGGCTGTGCGAGCTAAGAACCTCACGGACGGTGCTGCTGGTTGGACTGCCCGTTTGCTCTCTCCCCCTAAGTCGTGATGTGTCGGCCCTCTGTCCGCCCCAGCTCGAGAAGGAAGCATCGGAGAAGACGAGGAAAGAGAGGTAGCCGGCGCGTGAGACGTCGGCCTGGATCCCTGAACAAGCGGCTGGCCCGATCCGGCCCAGCTTCTGACCCGATGGTTCCGAGATGTCTCCTGGATTACTCGGCGCCCTGCCCAGGGAACTTGGCCGGCTCTGAGGGTGAACCGGCACCGCGCCACGGCCGATTAGAGCTGAGGAAAATAATCGATGCATCGGGATGCGGACATAAACGATTCTGCATCGTAGAAGAGTACGCCATAATCGATTATGGTGGAATGTAGTTTTGTTTTTTTAACGGCGGCTCCAGCGCCGCATCCAAATCCATCAAAGTGAGCCTCCTCCACATTTACCTCCGCCTTAATGTGGTACTGCAGGGCTGAGCGCTAGAGTTGTCACCCGAGACCGAACCGGAACCGAATCAGCCCGACCGGTTCTGTTGGATTTGGGCCGTGAATTATGTTAATTGAGCGGGTTGTCATGCGGCGCGCTCCGCTCGCTCGATCAGCGACCGAGAGAGAGAGACACTGTCTGCTCACACAAGAGAGAGGATCGGAGGACGCTCCTCCAAACCGATGCTCCAAACACGCGTTATTATTTTCATAATTTAATTATTATTTCTCCTGGAAGCGCTCAGTCAGACCGAGTGTTGTGATGCTGGGAGATCCGGTCTTGGGGAGGGGGCGGGGTCAGTGACGGCGGCTGCCGCGTTATCGTCTGTCTCTTTTATTTAGGGACACGGAGAAGTTAAAAGGAGAGAGAAATAGAAGATAGAAGTTCTTGTTCCACTTTATTCTTTTGTGTCATGATGATAAACTGATGTTAAATTCAGCTTAAAGAGAAGCTGGGAGGAAGCTTTGGTTCTTTTTAGGTTACAGGAGGTCTTGTTTCCTGTCTGCTCCTCCAGAGACAGCGTGGACATGAGGGTTACATGGCGAGGGTCCCACAGGACAGGTTAGTGGAAAGGTTTGTAGTTAGCTGGTTAGTGAAGGAGATCCATCAGCTGGGTTATTTAATCCTAATCCAGCCCACAGCCTTCTGCTGGTGTTATTATCAAGAAGAATAAAACACACATCTTAAATATTATTGGAAGTGTAGAATTTGTTTTATGTTTTATTTTCTGCATCAAACAGAACTTGATTCATTCTCCAACATTTCAGATATGAACCACTGGGTTCAAATAAAATAACAAACTAAGTCAAACATTTCATTTGGTGTTATTTCTGACGCCCTTCAACTGTGGCATAAATATTGGACTCTAGTAGCCTAGTGAACTAGACCAAATTCTTGCTTTGCAAAGAATGGTCTAGGCATGCTCCATTGGAACCTCAGCAGCTCCTACCAGGACTCTGGCTAGCCAATCACAGCTCTCTAGATGGGTTTCAAACACATAAAGAGCTGTGATTGGTCCATAATGGTGGGCAAATCATAGTGCTCTATCTGCTTGGTGAACAAATCACAGAGCTTTATCTGCTTTGTGGGCCAATCAGGGCACTCTATATGCCTGGTGGGTGGGATGACGCAACAGAGTGAAACAAGAGTATGTCACATTCATTGTCCAGTGGAATGTGGAGATCATTTGAAAGACAACGGTAGAACCCGCCCCACAACCGAGAGCCGTCAATGGAGCGTGGCCAGACTAAATAATACATTTATTTAGTCTGGCTTGCCAGGCTAGGACTCTAGAGCTGCTCAGAGACATGAAACACTCCTATATGAACCCATTATGGATTTTATTATTACATTATGTGTCCTGTAGGTTTTCAGTACTTTTTTTAGATTTTGTGAGTTTTTGTAAAGCGTGTTTTTCTCAGCCTGAGGCGTGGTGTTGAACCAGGAAACAGATGTTTTACTTTGTTAAATCTTCTTAAATGTTTAAATGTTTTGTCCTAACCTGTTGTGAATGGAGAGCTTTTGAGGGATGGCGGGTTGTGTCACTTACGTTTTGGATTAAAAAAAAAGCAATTATCTGACATCTTCTATTTATCGATGAAAACAAATCAATATGAAATAATCGTGATGCATCGGGATATCGAATCGAATTGAATCGTTGACCCAATAATCGTAATCGAATCCAATCGGGAGACAAGTGAAGATTCACACCTCTACGGCCGATCGGCTCGAAGATCTCGCCAGACTGGGGTTTGCTGGGAGAATCTGCGCTCGGTTACGGGCACAGAGTTAGAGGGGACTGGGTCCGTGCGCGATCTCGGTGCTGCAGACCCGGTTTGGTCTGGTCAATGCCAGGTCTGTGCTGAACAAAACTTTTATTCTTTGTGACTTTTTTTCAGCATGACTTGAGTTTTTTGTGCATCTGTGAGTCCTGGATCCCGTTTGGTGACTCAAGCGCCCTACTCGAGCTGGTACCACCTGGCTGCTCGTGTTTTAATACCCCCAGATCACGGGGCAGAGGTGGAGGGCTGGTTGTTGTTTTTAAATCCAGCTTTCCTTGTAAACAGCTTACACCCACCATGTCGTTTTCTTCCTTTGAACTGTGCTTATTTGAACTGTGCATCTCCCCCCGCCTGCTCGTCGTGCTGATTTATCGGCCTCCAAAGACTGACTCTAACTTCCTTAACGATTTCTATGATCTTGTGGCAGACTGCATCCTAAAATATGATTATGTCCTATTTTTTGGTGATTTTAACATCCATATCTGCTGTCCTGACAATATGCTTGCTAAAGGTTTTTTTAATTTGCTAGATTCATTCAATCTAACTCAATGGGTATCGTCCCCTACTCATGCCAGGGGTCACACTCTGGACCTGGTTCTCTCTTTTGGTCTCCCTGTCATGAACCTTGTGACTTTGCCTCCTGTGTTCTCTGACCACTCTCCTATACTCTGTGATGTTACTTTGCCATGTCCTGTCCCTGTGTGTGAAGCTCCCGCTGTCGTGTGCACGTCCCATTTGCGGTTCCGTTAAAACCCAGTTCCGTTAGAACTTATGAGACTGTGCATCTATCAGGGTTCGGTGGGGATGTCGGTGAGTTTTATCGTACTAGACCCTGGTTTGGACTTCCTAAGTTAGAATCATATTTTCTATTTTAAAGGTGAAATGATATGCAAGACTTGTCCCTTTGTAGTAGCTCACTTCTTTTTAAGTAGTCCCGTTATCTTTTGGTTAAAATACTGGGGACGAAGCCCGGCGGGAGGCCAGCCCTTCCGGCAATTGTTTGGGTTATTAGGATTTATTGCGCCCCTATCAGCTTATGTGGGCGGTTGGTAACTATAAAATGATTCTTGTTAGTTGATCAGGCTGACATAGATTTATCAATTTATCTAATTAATCCAACCCTCCAGCGCTGATAGAGACTTTTTCAACCTGCAATCAGAGCCAAAATTAACCTCTAATGTTTCGGTTTTATCATCCTTAAGACATCTCGTCACTCGCGGGTGAGGGAGGAGACAAGCTCCTCTTATCTTAAGGTTTCTTTATATTAATCTGTCACAACCCGTAAAGTAAATCCTGATGAATCGGGAACCTATAATTAATATGCTTACCTCTGTGCAAACAATGGTCAGGGCTCCCACTGGCCCCTTCAAAGAGGACCCCTTTAAGAATCAGGAATGTAGATCCTTTTTCAAAAAGTTTATTACAAGATTAAAAAATACAAAAATGAGTAAATATAAAATTAACTGCTTCCCCCAAGGAGGAATTAGTTCTAATGATTGATTAAGACATAAGGAGTTGATTTACACCAACTCGGTCTTCTGTGGATGGCCCCAAACTTCTGTCCCTCTGGACGGGGATGACCTCTCCAAATCTGCTCTGTCTCTCTCTGTCGTCTGCCCCAGCTCCTGTCGAATCTCTCCAGCTCTCTCAGAGCTGTTCTTTTATACCCTTCCTGGGCCAGCTTAGGCAAGGTAAAAGGCACATATCATTACCTCATGACAGAGAGGTCATGGGGTCATTTACCAGATACACACTTTTTTGCTCAACACAAGACATTTGGTATCATTTTCACTACATGCAGCATTCTTCTTAACACAGGTCATTACATGCAGCACTCTTCATGAGGGCACAGGTCATAAATCATCATGTTTGTAGCAAATTGTAGGTCTTCCTTCAGCATTCCTGAGTAGGGATGGGTATCGATTAGGTTTTATCCGATACCGGTGCCAAACCGGTACTTTTGAAATGGTACCGGTGCTTAAACGGTGCCGGAACCGGTGCTTAAAGAATGTAAAAATACACAAGTTTTCCAAAAACTTGTAATTTTTCCAAACAGATAAAAAAGATTAAATAAAAACATGTAACCCACCCTTTATTTGTACCAATTATTAACAGAGCACTTGTAAAGCTAAACCGCTATGAACAAAACTATTTTTATATCAGAGCAATGCAACATTTTTACCTAAATGATGGTGACTCCACCGTTGAGAATGGTTGGAGATCTTTGACTACAAACGTCGTCACTGCCCTGTGTATTTCCTCCACTTTTTCTTTGGTCAATTTAGACCTCTTGGCCAGCGTGAAGGAAGTCTGCCAAAAAGAACGCAGCATGTAGCTACGACCGTGTTTGCTAGCTCACCCTACATGCATTCATTTAATAATGTGTGCTCAACGTATAATACACATAAGCTACTTTAAGCTACTTACCCAAAGAAGAACGGCTGCTGCTGCCGCCATCCTCTGTCAACTTTTCTGCTACAGCGGGAGGGGCTCGGCTGGGGCCAGGACGATTCTCCTCCTCTCCAGGTTCTTCTGGGGGAACGTTGCTAAAGCTAACTCCAATACCGACAGTAGATGCGTTCGGTGGGAGGTTTCACTGTTGCAAGCTATCAAACACGGTGCATGTCTCGGCTTTTAAAAAAATGCTATGCGTCACCAGGTGTTTCATTAAATTAGAGGTGTTTCCTCCTTTACTGAGTATCACCTTGAAGCACCTGTTGCAGGTTGCTGAGTCTGCATCTTTTGCTGTGAAGTACAGCCACGCTTTCGACCGCTTCGCCTTCGGCATTTTGATAAATAATGTAGGTCCGCTCTAATTAAATACGCACTTGGCTGGGCCCGCCTACTATCACCGGAAAAGTAAAATGAGTGGCTACTCGAGTCCAAGATGATTGACATCTCCGAAATGAAGCACCGAAATCTGCGTTGCTTTTCAGTCTGGTTACTACCGTTTATGTCAGAACCGGTGCTATTAAAGTACCGAGTACCGGTACCCATCCCTATTCCTGAGAGGGTGTCTTGATCCAAACGGGCTGTCTTCACTCTGTTCCAGTCCTTCTTTTCCCGCCAGAGGTGGACCCAGGGGTGGAGCCAGACTGCCTCCTGACCTTTTGCCTAGTTCTGTCCCCGACAGCAAGTTCTGAACTCTTGTCCCTTTGACCCTTCTGTGACCCTTGTTTCTGACCACTGTTTCTGAGTCTTGACCTGCTGGAACTTGCTACACCGCTACTAGGTTCAGAGCCCTGGATGCAGAAACTATTTCAAAGTTTGTGGACTGTATGTCTGTAAGGTTAGAGACCTTTAACCCAGATCCATCTAACACTGAACACTATTCACAACACTTTGATTTACTTTGTAATCGGGTCCTGGACGTGGTTGCCCCTCTCAAACTGTGCAAGTCTTGGCCAAGGAGGGAGCCTTGGCTCTCTGATGTCACACGGGCTTGTAGGCGGGCGTTTAGGTCCTCTGAGAGAAAGTGGAAAAAGGATGGCCTACAGGTCTCACAGGTACAGGTTACTCAAGTTACTCAAGAGTGTGGTCGCTGAGTCCAGGCCTGTCTTGCTGCCCCGGTTTGCCGGTCCATGGCTATGAATAGCATCCAGCGTGTCGTAGCACCTCAGTGTAATTCTCTGATGTCCATTCCAGCTGTTTCTGTTCTTAGTTTTTCTATATGGGGCTTTTCGTTTCTTCAGCTTGGCCCAACACTGTTCCAACATCCACTCAAATCCTTCAGCTGCCATCCGCTGAGAAACCTCTATAAAAATTTGCATTCCTAGGGTTGGGCATCGTTTGATTTCGAATTATTCCGATTCCAATTCCTCATTTCGATTCCGGTTGTATCGATTCCTGATTCCAATTCTTTCAAGACATGACATGTTTTAAATGGGATGGCGGGAGTCCTACATTGATCAAAATGTCCGGTTTTTCATTCAGGAGCAGGGATCGTATTATGGGGGCTAGGTTTCTTTCAGGGAAAGATCCAGTTTCTGCCTATTTTACAATATTTATGGACTCTCATCGTAGCGGGGTTCCGTGGAGCGGGGAGGACGCAGAGCGAAAATATTAACATGATCGTTCATATCTGTTTATATCCCCTAGACTGGTACTCTGTCTTTTAATCTAATCGTTCCTGACGCGCTCCGCTCATCGTGTGCTGCGGTGATTTCACCTCACTGACGCAGCATCGAAACACGCACTCCGCGTTGTGGTCAGGAGATCCCCTTGACCTGCTCATGTGGCAAGTAAGAAATACAGATATACATGATTTAGGGATAAAAAGAGTTGCAACAACGCCACCTTGGGTTAACCCCCCCCCCCCCCCCCCCCCCCCCCCCAGGGAAAGGTAGAAGGCCCATAGGGTTAAAATAATCACAAAGGGAACAGATGGTATCTTTCCAATAAACACATTTTTATTAAAAATCGACACTAAAAACCATACTGGTGGAGTTTAAGGGCTTGGAGTTCAATTAGTGCCAGTTAGTCCACAGGAAGTAACCACATTGACCTAGGGCCAACAAATGTGAAAGGATGTTAAAACAAAAATTAGACACACCAAACACACCAACTTATAATAACACACATACAAACGAAATCTGGATACTTCCTGGCAATCCTGTGAGCGTTCTGGTGGTTGCCACGGCAACCAGATGTCCGACGCCCAACAACTAATTACCACCAATCACTGTAGACGAGAGAGAAGTTTATGAGAAATTAAAATCAATAGTACAATATAATATAACAAAGAAACATTTGCAGGTTTACAAGCAAACACACAACTTACACAATGCTAAGAATGGGCGCTGGCAGAAGCATAAGCTTATAAGCCCAGCCCCCCGAACCCTTTGAACTTAAACAAAATTTTAGAATAGCATACCGATTCCATAATTTTTACATCATGTTTCAAATGTATGGGAATATATTCAATTCCCCTTTCTAGCTTTATAAAAAAAAAAAAGACCTTTAATGTTTTATGCATTTTTTCATTGACTTGAATCAGATGTCCGACGCCCAACAACTAATTACCACCAATCACTGTAGACGAGCAAATCCATACGGACAGAACAGATGAATGCAGACGAAACAGCAGTGATGCAGCCCCCTGGGCACACCACCGGCTCCTGAGAAGGAGATGCAAGCACGTTTTCCCACGTGCTCGGCAGCTAGGCAGGAGAGCAGCTAAAAAACACATCATTCCATCCCTAATGTCCAGGAAAGCAGCCCAGAGCGCATGCTAACCTGCAGAAAATGTCAACAACAGTTATCCAGAAAGTAGCTGAGGGTTACCAGAAATGTCTCTAAGTTGTTCGCTTAGGTACTATTAGAAAAAAAAAAGTCAAGAAAGGTCTGAGAAGTTGTTAAAAATTGCGACAACGTTGCTAAGTTGACAATGCTGTTGGGAGGTGCGCTTGATTTGCAACTCAGAGTAGACCATGAGGGAGGACCAAATAATCAGCTCGATTCGTTTATATAATCGTTCAAAACCCAGATCGTAATTGTAATTAAAATCTCATTAACTGAGCCACCCTAGTAGATCCTAATGAAGGCTGGGAAGAGATGTCAGCACTTAGGTGTTAAACGTACAGCGAGTAGATACGTTTTGCTTTTGGTTCTACTAAACGGACACTAGGGGGCGCTGTCTCCCTTAAACTGTAAACGCAAGTGACGGATTGTGATTCATGTTTTGATTGATGGCCCTAACTTTTATATTAATGTTGTCTTTTATCCTGTCCAGAACTTCCACAGCATCATGTCTGGGAAAAGGAGGAGGTTCTGACTGACCAGCAGTTCTGTACCAAGGAGACCAGCACCAGTTTGGACCAGAAGGAACCAGAACCTCCACTAATCAAAGAGGAACAGCAGGGACTCTGCATCCGTCAGCATGGAGGGTCGTTCATTCTGAAGCAAGAAAACGTTACCATCGTGAAGACGTCTCCTGACGAAACAGACCGCTGTGAGCCAGAACCAGACAGGAACAAACCCTTGTGTCAGAGTTCTACTGAAGCCGAGAACCAAGATCAGGATGGACACTCGAATGAAAACTCGGCACCAAACAGCCACGATGAACCGACACGGAATAAAAGAAGGCAACAAACCAAAGATCACAGAAACGGTGTAAGGTGTCGGAAAATAAAAAGGCACAAGACGACTCGCAGAGATGAGAGACCAGTTTCATGTAAGACCTGTGGGAATTCTTTCAGTTCCAAGGGTGTTTTAACTGTTCACTTGAGAACGCACACAGGTGAGAAACCATTTAGATGCAACACCTGTGGGAAATGTTTCTCCCAGAAAAATAACTTGAAAACACACATGAGAACTCACACAGGTGAGAAACCATTTAGATGCAACACCTGTGGGAAATGTTTCTCCCAGAGTAATAACTTGACTGATCACATAAGAACTCACACAGGGGAGAAACCATATTTGTGTAAAACCTGCGGTAAAGGTTTCTCGGCAAAAAGCGGCTTGACTAGTCACATAAAAAATAAACACGGTCCTTCTGTTTGATCTGTAGAGCAAAATGCAGCCAAACGGTTACTTTGGCTTCTCGAGTGAAAATCTTGAGATGGGCGCACGAGTAAACATGTTTGGATAGGTTTTGGAAAACAGCTGTCTTGATTAAAATGTCTTCCCCAGTTGGATCTTCCTCTTTCTTTGTGCAGTTGTTGTTCTCTCCATCTCCCTCCTCTCACTGTGCTGGCAAACATGAACAACATCAACTAGAAATACAAATACATTCAACTATGAGGATCTACAAACACAATATATGGAATAACATTTAACAGATGTTTTTTCTTTGGAAGAAACTCCTTATAGTATCAGTAAATAAGTAAAACACATTTAGAACGCACTTAGCGTAGCAATGGCTAGTAGCAACTATAATAAAAACATACATAGCTGCCCAGACTACCAATGCTTTTCCTGAACTTGTTGCTCCTTGAAGGTGTTGAGTCAAACAAAATATTACAAAATAATGAAGTTTACTTTCATTTTCAAGATCATTGCCAGCCAGAGCTCGGCAGTAACTCCACATGTGATCATGTGATCTCCTCTGTTGGTCCAAGGCGCAATCGCCATTAACAAGACAGACAATTACCGCGATATTACTACCATGCGAGGCGGAATGAATACCGCTAAATTTGTGCATCACCATGTCGGCATGGCGCATTTCTAAGACACATCATTGCGGTAACATCACTCTGATTTGCCAGCACGGTGTGTGCTGTAAACAGGGCTAGAGACCCCCAGGCCCCCTTAAGCTTGGTTCATGCTTGACGCGTTCACTTTCCGCGCGGTGATGCGGCTCGCGGATGGAACGCGCTTCACAACTCGCAGCTTTTATGGTTCGTGCGGCTCGTCTCTGCGGTGAGCCAATATTCTCCCAAACTGTAGGGGGCAGCATGGAGCTCTACGGCATGCACCCAACACTACACCATAGAAGTAGAAATTACTGTTTACAACATGGCATTCCAGCATTTTTAACAGCGTGCTCGTCTTTTCCGACAGTGCGAGCTATTTCTCTCCAAGAATTATTAACAACATGTTGATCACGGTGATCTTTGAGAGCTGAATCATACAAATGTATGTATTTACGAACCTCTGCCATACTAGTTTTTGCCAGTCCGCCATGTTTTTCCGCGTCCATCCGTCCGCGTGGTTAGAAATTTTCCGAGGTGCGCGTTGCGGAAATCTTGGGCCGTGCGGAGACGCGGTGGAGGGGCGTGGTTGTTAAAATGACGCAACTTTTCCGCGCGGAGCCGCGCGGACCTCGCGGAAGCATAAACCAACCTTTACAGAGATAAAAAGACAAACTTAGGGCTGTGTGTAATTCCCGGTTCGTGGCTCATTGTGTGGCCTACATAGAGTGAGACCCGAATGCTTTTTTACGCCTTCAGTAGTGAATAAAAAACAAAAGACAGAATGTTCCGGTTTTAATTGAGGTTCTCATCTGTCCGGTGAAACATTTCCATAACGGGTGAGAAGCTTTCTAAAACAGTCCTGCATTAGAACATTATCTTTCATCCACACACACACACACACTCACACACTTGGGAACTAAAACCCTTGAAAAATGGTCTTTTTGCACCGCTTCTTGCATGTGGTGTTACATTATAACTCTAGACTGGTTCATTTGGTTATTAACACTATCTCACCAAAGTGATTTGCAAACCTTTTTTATATGAATATAACTCTGCATCCTCAGAGATGTGTGGGCGCTGAAGCTTCATTGTTGTCCAGAAGCAGGAAGTTGTGGCTGTTTTGATCAAGCCACCTAGTGGACACTTATGTTGTGTAATGTCTGAAGTCCGGGAGCGTTTCTGTCTGAGGTGTTTTTTTGCATAGCAAAGCTAATTTCTCGGGTGAGGGTAACTCTGAAGTGCCTTTTTTCCCCTCCCTGACTCTATCCTCATATAAACCCTCTTGATCTATCACGGTAGCGCCACCCGGGTTGCGAATGACCACAGTCACCAATTCTTGTCGTGTATGTCTGATCTCAGAATTGTGTGTACTGAAACTCTAATTTCCCTCTGACCAGGGAAACCAGTCTAGTCTCGGAATGCTCCCAGGTCACGACAGGTTGTTATTGGCGTCAGCGAGACCCTGGAAGGGTCATGAGGTTCAGCTTTTATTCTGAAGGAACCATTGCGGTCAGGTGTAACGTGTAACAGATTTATCCAGCTTGTCGAGCAAGGTTCTTTCGGCTGAAGGTGTTCGGATGGCCTGTCCGAACTTCTCTAGAACGCTTTGAACTGAACTAAAGGTGACGTGGGAATAGCTTTTATAATCATCATATTTTGGTTTACTGGCGAATCAGAATTTGACATGCAAAAGAGGGTTTATACAAACACCACAGAAAACCACGCCTCGCTTCAGAAACGAAGGATCTGATTGGATCAGACAAAAGGAAATGTGTCATGTGACTTTAGCATTTCTCTGTATCATTAGTGTCTAGTGCAGCTGTCCAAGATTATAATTACTTGTAAAATACTACTGATCACAGAATTATAATATCAAGTAATAACATTGTCATTTCACAGATTGATTGAACATGGGGCTCACATTATTATTGGTAATAACAAACGTTGTTTGATTATGTATTCATCAAGAGAGTCCTCCGTCTTGTCCTGTAAAGAGGTGAAGCAGTTCAGATGAGCAGAGGCATTAAAGGCCTTGGCCACTATCATGTAGATTAGGCCTGTGTCAGAGACTTTAGGTCTCCGCTCGAGCAGACGCAGCAGGGCATGACCTTTAGGTCAAAAACAGGACATGTCATGATGCTACACCTACGAGGACTACAAAGATATCAGAACTAAAGTAGAGACCATGGACAAATACACATTTAGCACATATATTACACACTGAGGGAAAAAACATCACTTATGTCATTTACATTAAATATCGTGTTTCACGCGTGACCAGAGTAAATATATAGTCACACCAATTAAGTGTTTCCTTTTACATAAGTATTACGTTAACAGCTGTAAGATGGTTTAGGGCTATTTTACCATTCATAATGAGGAGAGCATGTTAATTATATGGGTCCATTTAAATATATTTAATGCCGACATCAGGGGGATAAATGCTCCCGACTTTAAATGAAGACCAAATACAAAAACTATTAAGATGTAAATCCTATTTGAATTCCATTTTAGAAGCTTAACTCTACATGTATTAATAATTTAGCCATCAAGAAGAAAGCTGCAGCTGCTGTTACCGCTGTGGGCCAGCGGTGGTGCTAATTCACCACCGTGTAGCTGCCAGCTACAGACTAGAAGGTGACACAACTTGCCTCATCCAATCATATTCAAAAGTGTCAGTAAGGCTAGCTGCTAGCCTGCCACTGAGCAGGATTGCAGCATGGGTTACCATGGCGACTGGGAGGGGTTTCAGGCTAGCCGATTTAGGGGTGGCTACACCGGGAATCTCATCAGAAAACCTGGTTTTGGGGATAGCCCTCTTTCCGTTACAGCCCCACTACCTAGGTGGCTAAATACTACAGGAACGGTAAATATCAATAATATCAACACAAGAGAAGACACGTACTTAAAAACTTTAAACCAGAACTTTGTAAGTAAAAAAATACAACATGTGTTTTTATTGTTTTTATTGATTTTTTTATAGTCAGAAAATGTCCCAAAAACGTACTTATTCATACATTTTAATGTTAAAACAGCAAAAAACAATGATTCTCACTGGGGTCTGAGGTTTGAGATAAAAACTTGAGATAAAACTGAAAAGTTAGGTTACTATATGTAGATGTGCTTTAAATTGTTTTAAAATTTTATTTCATAGTAAAAACAAATCTAACTTTTATTTTAAAGAATCAAAAACATCTAATTAAACTGATATCTGAAGCTTTAGATTTCCGTTTGGATCCAGTTTTCTTTTGCACACTTGAAGTCTTCTGCTCCGATCGTCTTCCTCTGCGGGAACACGGAATCGGAAAACTCGGCTGATATTTTTATTAAGCTGAAAACAAAATAAACGAGTTTGTAAAATCGAACCTTCGCGATCTCCTTCCTCAGGGCTTCCAGCTGCTCCTCCACTTCCTTCCTCCTCTGACGCTCCTCGTGGAGCTAAACAAAAACAGATGCTAAAGTGTAAAAAACCTTTGGACACCAAACCCAGATGATGCATTCAGGTACCTCCTGTTGGTGTTGGTCTCTCAGGTCGGCCAGCTGCTTCTCCAGCTGCTCCTCCTTCTCCGCCATAAACTTAGAGAGGAACCTCAAGTGATCCAGCTAACAAACAGGAAATAATTATAAGTTTTATTCATGGTAATGCCTTTATTTTCATGTTAATAATGGATTGTTCAATAAAAAAAAATTAGTTTTTGCCTGCAGGTGGATATTTTTAAACCTCAACACAATCACAACCATTTGTAGAGGATCGCCCTCTAGTGGCAAGTGGGAGTAATTTCTGTTTTGCTACATTAAATGTGCACTAAGTAACAACGACATCTTGTGGTCTAGTTTGGGTACTGCGGTCCTCGCATCAAAACAAGTAGCCGGCTCTGAGCTCAGGACTAAAGGTCAAATCCAGCAGCAGCTCCGTCTTCATCACCAGGAAGTTTCAAACGAGTCTGGTTCGTTTCAAACACAGAACGAGCTTTAGCGGCGGTGTGCAGAAGTGAAGGGATTACCTGTCTATGCAGATCCCTGGCCTCTATCATCTTGGACTCCAGTTTAATTTGAGTTGCCTTCAGCTCCTCCAAGGCCAGCAGGTTCTTCTGGAGCTTCTGCAGCGATCAGATTGCAGAGCTTTAAGCTGAGGTTTTATTGTTTAGGACACAGAAACCGGGGTTCACAACGACCCATAATTCACCTTTGAAAAATGAACTTGCGTAACAAACTTATGTTCACGTTTAATTTCGTTTTGAATATTGAAGCCAGCCGGGGCTTGGTAGTAATTCCACAAGGGATCATGACACCATCCGTGCTTTTACAAGTTCGGCGTTGCAGGAATATTACCAAGCATGGCGGCACAAATGCCACGCCGCCACAGCGCGTTCAGAAGACGCACCGCGGCGGATGTGTTACGCCGACTTGCCGGCATGGAAGTGACTGGCTTACAACACTGCGGGTTGGAGTAGAAGCAGCAGGCCCTCATGGTAGCTCTAAATGATTTAAATCAGTGAGATTTGCATAAAGTCTCTGTGAAAGCAGAAACCGTAAGAAATGACTCGTTTCTACCTCCTTTTGCTGCCGGTTCACTTCTGTAAACTCTTGCAGCTCCGCTCTGGTCTGCTTCAGCTCCTCATCCGGCTTCAGTCCTCGCTCCTGCATGGAAGCACAGACTGACCTCTTAATCAGCCGATAACCAGCCTTGACGAGCATTATGAAAACAAAGTGTTTCCATTGCAGTGAAACGTTCCTGAGGACCACTTTACCTCCAGGCCTGGTCTTGCAGCACGCGGGAGATACTTGGACATTCCTTGACGAACTTGACTTTCCGTCAGCTGGTCTTCCAGCTGATGAAGAGAAAACGTCTCACTCTCGTTTAAAAGGACTGTCAAAAGTTAAACCCTGATCATCTGTTAATACGTTTAAAAAGTTGTGATTAAAGCCTGAGTCATGCTTCTCCGTCAGCTCCAAAAGAGAGAGACACGCACGCACAGACGGAGATGTTTAGCTCTCATACTTCTCCGTCTCCTGGAGAGTGTTGCAAAGCAATTCCCCGCCAGGACAACAGAGGGCGTAGCGCTGTTCTGTGGTATCCTGTCCGGTCCAAGATAGTGTGTTTATATTGTGGTTTTTTGTATATAAGAGACTTTTTAACACACATTTGTCTCATCCTCCTCCACCTCTTCATGCGCTCGCCACCTCTAAACCCACGTTTCCTGTCATTTCCTTCCACAAGTGAAACGCTTGCTGCGCATCTTTTCACTCCTCCAGTCACGGGGAGTAAAAACGTTCATGTTTTTAGAGTTTTTTATCGAGGTTTTCTTCAAGTTTCTCCGTGTCTGCCGCTAGTTATCCTCGGCTCTTTGTTTTTGACGGCGCAATGGCGGCGGTGTAGACGACAGCGGCGTCCTGACCAATCACAAGCTTGCGTTCTCCGTCCTTGCGGGGGATCTCCAGCAGGCCCGCATGGACGGATAACGGCGTTGCGTGTCTCCGCGCCGACGCAGAAACTTGAATCAGGCTTGAAGTTTCTAACTGACCAACTGAGCTGCTTTTGAGCAGAATGCTGCCGTTCACACCAGCTGCTGCTGTAGGGTTTGTGCCGTTTGTCCTTCAGCAGAAAACCTGCAGCTGCTTTACGTTTCTGCTGCAATGATTACAGGAACAAATAACGGGTGTGATTTACCCTTTGGATCCTCTTCAAAGCAACCAGGTGTTTCAGCGATGGAGAA